AGACACACACATACACACTCATACACACATGCACACATAAATACACTATTTTTTCATTTAGTGAGGTGCATGTTGTTGTTGTTGTTAGGTCCGTCAAGTCAGTTCCGACTCATAGTGACCCTATGTACAACAGAAGGAAACACTGCCCTGTCATGCGCCATCCTCATGATCATTGTTATGCTTGAGCCCACTGTTGCAGCCACTGTGACAATCTATCTCATTAAGGGTCCTCCTCTTCTTGGCTGACCCTCTACATAGAACACAGCATTAAGGAAACTGACCTTATTCCACAGTGCTAAGGATTACAAGGATTCTAGAAAAGATAAAGAATGAATGCCCTCTGTTTCCCATGGGACACATAAGCACAGATTAGGCACTTTCTTTTGAACAGCTGGACATCTGGATGTCATTTGAGATAGGGGCCATTCTGCCCTTTGGTATTAGTATTTTATCATTATTATTATTGTTGCTAAGGTCAAGAGCAAGAGCCAATCATAGGCTCTTTCGGATATTACTTTTGGTCAGCCAAGAATAAATTTTCTGCCCTCTCTGAACTTGCTAGTAGTTAGAGAAGCAAATGTGTCACATTCCTAGACCCATGAATAGCTGAAAACAAAGGCCATTTTAAATGGCAGCCCTCAGTTTAAGAACAGATAAACTGATTCAGAGACTGAGAATTGCCAAGATGTGAAGCCACGATCTCTCTAGTACCTGCATGGTGAAAAATCAGCTTCTAACTCCCTTCTCTTACTGCACTTTTGAGAACAGATGCCTCACCAACAGGGATGTGCTTACAGCAGTGGAAGAAAAAAAAATATTTGAGGAAGTTGATCCAGTCACCGGACACCTCAGACTGTCTTGCTCTAGTGCTGACTGACATGAATTATATTTCACTACAGTGTCGTTTTTTCTGTGAAGTGTGATATATCGTTTGTTTCTGTAAAGTGTGATAAGTCTTGGGATTTGGAACCCCCAAATGGTAAAAGCCTATTCCCAGATTTGAGAAGGGGAAGAGTAAGTCTTTTGCACAGGGAATGTCCAACATCATCTGTGTATATTCTCCTGATCACAGGCTTTGCTACTCATTCTTCTGTTATACCTCCACCCTGCCACTCAGATTTCTCATTTACAACCTCAGCTCCTTCCAGATACCACTGACATAGCCACGAACCATCAAGACCCAGCCCCTTAAAGCCTCTGCCCCTACTCCAGAGGGTAGATACCTGCCCAACTCTTCCTGTTCTCACTGATGGGACCTGAGCAGCCATTTCTGAAACCGCTGAGTCAGAAGCCTCCAAAGGTGTCTGTGTATAAGGGCACAACTAGCATGATGCTAAGAGACAAGACATTAAGCATTTAAAAAATTCAAAGTCCAATTCCAGATCAAGTAAATCAGAAATCTCTGGGTATGGGGCTCAGGTATTGGTATTTTAAAAAGTCTTTCCATGTGATTCTAACGAAGAGTTGAGAACCATAAAGCGAGCACAGAACAGAACATAGGGACTGCTGACATTAGGTCCAATGATCTTTTGGGCAAAGATTACTGAGTTAGAACTATAAAATACTTTAGTTAACATGAAACCTTTTGTGGCAGTTTTAAAATATGGTCTCAAATTCTTCAAAACCTCTCCTATTGATAGGTGGAATATATGCCTCCTCTACCCCTTTTCTTGATTGTGGGTGGGCTTTTTTGACTGTTTCATCCAACAAACTACGGAAGCATTGCTATCTTACTTCATAAAAGGTAATGCAGTTTCTACTTTGCTGCTGAAACACTTACTTTTGGAGCCCTGAGCCATCATACAAGAAGTCCAACTCTGAACAGCCACCATTTGTAAGGAAGAACAGACCATGTGGAGAGAATTGCCAGGATGTGAAGCCATGCAGGGATTCTTTGGATGCTCTAGCTGAGTTCCCAGACAACAGCATCAGCAACTGAATAACTGAGAGATTGACAGATTATAATTCTGGGACTTTAAAGCATCAGTATAAGTAAGTATGTTGGAGTAAACAAAAAAACCAAACCAGTTGCCGTCTAGTTGATTCCAACTCACAGCTACCCTATAGGACAGAGTAGAACTGCCCCATAGAGTTTCCAAGGAACACCTTGTGGATTCAAACTGCTGACCTTTTGGCTAGCAGCTGTAGCTGTTAACCACTACACTACCAGGTTTCCATGTTGGAGTAATCCCTCTGAATTTGTCCATTAAGCACTCAGTTTTCAGTTTTCCCCCCAAATCTAAGATTACCATTACTTTGAACAATCGATAAAATTACTAGTTTCTGAGGCTACGTATTAACTGAGTTTTCTTTGATTTGAATGGATACAGGTTACATTCAAATTGAAATAGAAAAAAAAATGGTTTTACTCTGAAAAATGCCAGGAAAAAGTCTGTAACATAAAACTGTCTAACCTCAAAGAAACAACCACTACTAGTTTGAAACATCAGAGAAATGAATGAACGTTAATAATTTGAATATTGGTCTAGAGGACTGAATAGAAGCCTCCAAAAAAATATGTCCACATCTTAATACCCAAAACCTGTGAATGTTATCTTATTTGGAAAAATGGTCTTAGCAGATGTAATTAAGGATCTTGAGACGAGATCATCCGGGATCATTCCAGTTAGACCTAAATCTAATGACAAATGTCCTTATAAGAGATACACAAGGGAGATTTGACAGACAGAAGAAGAGAAGGCAATGTTACCACAGAGGCAGAGACTGAATTCATTTTAAGCCACCCAGTTTGTGGTAATTTGTACAGCAGGCACAGGAAACTAATACAGTTGGAAAAATTATTTCCTCATTTAAATTTCTTGCTTCCACATAAGCTCAAAATTTAATAAATTACAATTCTATTCATCATATTTCTCTCCTTATGTGTCTACCTAGAAGACAGTTTTCTGTTCAAAATGTTATTTCTAAATGGCACAAGATCAATAAACGTTGATCGTATGTGTGGCTTTGAGTGATACGACCTGGGTTTGAACCCTGGCACCTTGACTTTCCAGCAGTGTGTTCTTGGGGCAAGTTACTTGATTTTTCTAAATCTTAGTTTTCTTAACCGTAACATGGACATAATAATGGTAACTACCTCATAGATGTAGGTAGTTGAGATACTGTCTGTAGCATGCTTAGCACAGAACCCGCACATGGCAAATATTAGAAAAATATTAACTATGAAAAAATGTTATTTCTATTATTAAAATGTCCACTTTTAAAACTACTGTTATTTTTCTGTATGTTTAATGTTTTGCATGCTTTTTTGTCTTTTTAATGTATGACCTAGCAGAGATGTTTAGGCTGTATTTACCAGCAATCTAGAGCACAAATTGAACGACTTGACTGAGCATTCTTAATTCCACTGGCAGTATATATGTTGTGTGCCGTGGATTCCACCTTACAGCAACCCTATATGACTGAGTAGAAGCGCCCCACAGCGTTTCCTACGCTGTAATCTTTACCAGAGCAGATTGCCCAGGGAGTTTCTCCCGGTAGCCTCCGGTGGGTTCAAATAACCCACCTTTTGGTAGTGCTTAACCATTACACCACCAAGAGTTCTTGCAGTACATATACATATATGGCATGGGAAGTGGGGTGCCAGATGGAGAGAAGCACTTGGTACAGAAAGAACTGTTGTTGTTGCTAGTTGCTGACTATTCCACACATGGCGACTCCACGTGTGCAGAGAATGATATCCTTGCTGTGAAGTGTATGGTTTGTAGGGAAATGTTTGTAGATATGCTTTAAAAGCTGTCTCAATTCTTAGTAAAGGGGCGTCCTACAAAATACCTGACCAACACTTTTAAAAACTGCCAAGGTCATCAAAAACAAGAAAAGTCTGATGAATTCTCATAACCAAGCAGAGCCTAAGGAGATATGAAAACTAAATGTAATGTGGTATCCTGGAGCAAAAAAAAAAAGGACATTAGGTAAAAATTAAGGAAGTTTGAATAAAAGCATGGTTTTTAGTTAATATCAGCATTGGTTCATTAATTGTAATAAACGTGCTAATACTAATGTGAGATGCTAAAAAGGGAAACTGGTTCTGGGGTGTATGGGAACTCTGTACTTTCTCAATTTTTCTGTAAATCTAAAACTGTTTAAGAAAATAAAATCTGTTAAAAAAAAAAAAAACAAGGCTGACTCTACCAACACCACGTTTTAAATAAGAAACTAAAGTTGAAGGAAGTGAAACATTTAATACAAATCACTGGTGTTGAGGGAATTTTCTCGACTGTTTACCTGAATGTTGGTCCACATTGCGAAGAATTATTAATAAGGCTTATTTTCCTCTAATTATTTGAGATGTTCTGAAAAGGGAACAACATCGAGAGACATTTCCGGGCTTGCAAAAAAAAAAAAAAGGCTGGTTCTGCTTCCAGTCTACTTTCCAGGGCTAACTGGCGTGCCATCTGTTCGCAGCATAAAATGGTAACCATGGTTCACTTCTCACACCCGCGTTCGGTGTTAGGAAGTTTGCCCAAACAAGTTTGGACAACTTCGCTTCCGCGCAGGTTGCTGGGGGAGGTGGGGTGGAAAGGGGCGGCAGCAGCATCCAGACTGTATATCGTTTTTCCAAACTCCATCTGCTTTCCCCTCCCCTAGCTGCACCCGCGGTCTCCGGGCGCGGCAAGCCGTACAAACGTGAGCGGGTTTTTATGCATAACAAAAGAGCCGCCGCCTCCTCCTCTTCCTCCTCCCGCCGCCCCCACCTTGGCTTCCCGCGGGCGCCTGGGCCCGCGTCCCCGGCAGGAATTGGCCACGGGACGCGAGGTTCCCAGGTACCCGGAAGGGGGTGGGGGTCGAGGCGGCAACAATTGGGCGGGTGAAGGCGAAACGCGCGGTCGGGAGCGCCAAGACTCCGAGGGGCGGGGAGCCCCGGCCGTGCCACCGCGCGATTGGCCGAGCCGCCCCGCCGGCCGCCGCTGATTGGTGGATTCTCAAATTCGGTCTCAAGGCGCCAGACGAGGTGTTTTAGCGGGGACCGGGATCCAGGGCTAGAGTCGCGCTCGGCGGGTTGGAGCGCTGGCGCTGCCCAGAGGCCGTGGGGTCCCAGCCAGCGCAGGGCCCTCGGAGGGGGTGGTCCGCGCGCCTCGCCTTCCCTGCTCGATGTCGCTGCTCCAGCCGCCCGGCTGCTAATCGCCGCGCCCCCTTCCTCGCCGGTGCGGGTCGGTGGAGATCCCTGTAGAGGAGGAAGCCTCCTTCGCGAAGCGGGAGTAAGTAGCGTGCGGTCCCTGCACTGGTGCTGAGGCGGGAATTGGGAGGAAAAGGGGTCCTCTCTCGTTCCGGCTGCCAGCCTGCCATCCTTCCCGTCCCCCGGCTGGCGGGTGATGTAGGCGTTTCTGCCGCTGGACCTGATTCGTGGGGGCTCTCCTGGCTCCAGCTCTCTCTCCGAGGGACAGCAGAGGGGCCTTACCCTCCCTCACGATTTGGGGGTTTCATTGGAAGAGTTTATTCTTGTGGTCCGCTTCAAGGCCTGAAAGGGACTGCGCCAAGCGCTGAATGGGTTAGGTCTAGCGATCAGATTTCCTTCCCTCCCGATTCAAGCCCCCCTCGAAGCCAAATTCCTCTCAGTTCTTTGCGCCAAAATTAACTGACCTCGGAGACCCTATACCTTCTGATAGATTTACCCAACACCTTCCCCCTTGAATTGGTAATTTTATTTTGCCCTGTTGGTTTTCCAGAAGAATTCCTAGTTTTGTCAATGATTTTTCCTTCCCAGATTTTCAGGAGTTACTAAGCACACTTTACGCGTTGTGTGTGCATGTGAGTTTTAGAGAGGGTGGGGTGGGGGTGGCTACACTCCTGGAAATTCCCATGACAGATTTAGGGAGGGGAAGTTCATGTTCATGAACAAATAGTAAATAGACATTTTCATCGAAGGAGAAAATATCTAATTGTAAAATCACGTTCTAATGTAATTGTGCTTTGTAGATGGAGGTAAATTGTTTAACACTAAAAGACCTGATCAACCCCAGGCAACCCAGACTAGATTTTGCAATCGAAGACGGGGAAAATGCACAAAAGGTAAGTGCCTACACATAAATACCTTAAGCTTCACTGTATTTAGGATGGTACTATCCAAACCATTATTGTTGCATTTCTCTTCAGTCACTGCAGTGGAAAAGAAGCCAGGTTAGATGTAATGTTGAAACCAACTAATAATGGATCAAAGATATGCTGAAGTCTGCAGTCAAGAGTTTTAATACTGGAATTAACTAATGCTTTGTAGGAATGCTAAGCCTCAGTTTTCAGGTAGATGAATGGCAGTTGCTATAAATGCTGGATTACTAAATGCTGTAAAATGTCCTCAGACCAATAAATCAGCTCCTAGATATGACATGTGCCTACCATATAGGGAGATAAAGTGATTGAGCCCACCAATGTACTGTTTGAATATTTGAATGACTTTTTATCAAGTACCTTTAACAAGGGCATTTCTACTATTGTTGTTAGGTGCCATTGAGTTTGTTCCCACTCATAGAGACCCTATGTACTACAGAACGAAACACTGCCCTATCCTGTGACAGTCTCACAATCATTGTTATGCTTGAGACCATTGTTGCAGCCACTGTGTCAGTCCATCTTGTTGAGGGTCTTCCTCTTTTTCGCTGACCCTGTACTTTACCAAGCATGATGTCCTTCTCCAGGGACTGATTCCTCCTGACATGTCCAAAGTACGTTAAGACATAGTCTCGCCATCCTTCTTTCTAAGGAGCATTCTGTTGTACTTCTTCCAAGACAGATTTGTTCGTTCTTTTGGGAGTCCATGGTATATTCAGACTCTTTAAGTCCATCTTAGTCTGGAAGCTCAGCTGAAACCTGTCCACCATGGGTGACCCTGCTGGTATCTGAATACCGGTAGCATAGCTTCCAGCATCACAGCAACGCACAAGCCCCCACAGTATGACAAACTGAAAGACATATGGAGGACTTTTACTATAGTTAGATTAATAAGTGCTGTGACTATTGTGCTTTCACATTCTCACAGCGAAGAAAGACCACAAAATACTGGAAGATATTGGGAGAAGTGGTTAAGATTTTTTAAATGAGCAGGGATTATTTCACCTCTCCAAGAGAAAACAAGGAATGACAGCAGAGTGCTTCTGCAGAAATACTGGGACGGGGGTGGGGGGAGGCGTTGTCTCTTCACATTGCAGTGAAGTAAAGGAGGGAGAATCTCTAGGAATAGTGAGAGCATGGGGTTTAGAGTCAGACCTGAGTTTGATTTCCTCCTCTGCCATTTATTAGCTTTGTGATCTCAAACAAGTCTGTTCATTCAGTCTTTCAACAAATATTTATGTTCCAGACACTGGGGCAACAGTGGTTTAATTAGCTGCCTTAATCGCTCTGAGTCTGTTTTTTCCTTCCATAAATTGAGGCTAATAAACAGCACCTCCTCCAATGGGTTTTTGTAAAGCACCCAGCAACAAAGATGAATATGATATAGAACCTGGCCTCATTTACCTGACAAACTCCCAGGGAGGCCAGATGTAAAACTAACCAGCTCCACTGTGATTTGGTAAGTGCTATAAGAGGAGTAGGAACTAAGTGCTCTGGCAGAACAGAGGAGAAAGAGATGAGTTCATGAGAAGGCCAGGGAGAATTGGAAAGCTTCTCAGAGGAGATAACATTTGGGCTAAGCATCAAAGGATGAGTAAGTTCAGCCTACAAGAAAACAAGAGCGAGTGAGACAGACATTTTAGGTGGAAGAAAGTACATGAGGTATGGACATTCAAGAAATGTTGGAGAAATCCAGAGTGGCTGGAAGCTAGCAGTACTGAGTTATTCCTTAAAGGCTGGAAGCTAGTGGTACTGAGTTATTCCTTAAAATTCCTGTGAGGGATGGCTGGTGTGGTGTCCTGATGGATCAGTTGGGGCTTAGAGGATTTATCTTGCACATGGTCAAGATCTATATTATGCCTGGGTCATCTTAACCACTCATAGAAAAACTTTTCTTTAAAATATAAGAAAGGAGTTTTCGATATCATTACCGAAAATATAGAGTTCCTGGATGGGGCAAATGGTTAAATGCTTGACTGCTAGCCGAAAGGTTGGTAGTTTGAACCTACCCACAGGCAGCTTGGAATACAGGCCTGGTGATCTGCTTCCATGAGATCACAGCCTTGGAAACCCTATGGAGCAGTTCTACGCTGTACACATGGGATTGCCATGAATCAGAATTGACTTGACTGCAAATAATAACAACCGAAATTTACTATACCAAGTTGTGGGGTTTTAAAGAAAACTCTCCTCTTAAGTTGTTTACAGTAAGTTCATTTCGGTATGACAAAATAGAAAATAGATGGTTTGGTACAAAGACGTGAACACTAAGGATTGAGCTTGTGGGAGGGCTTTGTGAAGGAGGTGACACTTAAGCTACGGTTGGAGAAATAAATGCTGAAACTTAGACAAGTAGAGAGGAAGGGAACTGGTAAAGAAGTAGAAATAAGCATGGCACATTTGGGGTCGCTATGAGTTGCAATCAACTCAACAGCAATGGGTTTGCGTTTTTTTTTGTTTGTTTTGTTTTGTTTTTTAATTATTATTTTGGGTCGATGCCCAGATTTATGTGGGCATAGGTTCTCTTTGAAGGTCACTGATCTCTTTTGGGAGTGGCTGAGAAAAAACCTGAGTCCAGTTTGGAATATGTCCGTGCCTGTGTAGTATACATATAAATAAATATATACAGGAGGTAGCTGGTTGCTTGACTTTGGAATTCATGAAAGGTCCTGGCCAGATAAAAACTCGGGAATTGTCAAGGTACAGGTGGACTTTAAAGCCGTGTGTGAGAGTGGGTGAACTATTCCAGAGAGAGTGACTAGTGACAGTAGAGGGCTGAATGTGGACTACCGTGGTTTGTAAGAGTGGAAAAAGAAGAACCAATGAAGGGGACTGAGAAGCAATAGAGAAATAAGAGAACCAGGAGAGGAAGAGTCATATCTCAAGCTACAAGCTGAGAGCTTTAAAGAGCAAAGAATAGTCAGCAGTTTTAACTGCTGCAGTGAGGCCAAGTAAGACATCCAGACATTGCCAGTGATTTGGAAACTGAGCGGTGACCTCAGTGAGAGGAGTGGGACAGAACCAGAGAGATGGGCAGGGGAAGGTCTTAGTTTAAATTATTCATTCTAGAAAGTATACTCTGAAAGAGGGCTTTTAGTCAACAGCTGGAAGGAGACTCAGTTCCTAAGATGTGGTCTTTGTGATGAGCCTTAAAAAAGGATAGGATTTCAATAATCAAAGCTTGGCCAGTGGTATTAAAGAGAAAGATGGTGTGAGCAACCTAAAGTGCAGGGCAGGTTTGAAGAAAAGCAAGTGAACTATCTGAGCATAATGTGGGATATTCCAGGCATGAGTTGGAACTGAAAAAGAGGTTGGCTTAAAATATCATCAAGGATCTTAAGGCTGAAGACTGTATACATAATTTACAGTAGCATGACCAAAGCTGTACAAGACAGAGGCAGGACTAGAACACAGACCTTTTAACTACCAAGCCCTTTCTTTAGCAACGTACTGCCAATTTATTCATGGCAATGATATTAGTAGTAATAATAATAATGAACATTTGTATAGCACTTCACATGTTACAAACTGCTTTCACATTCATTGTCTGGTTTGATCCTCACAGCAACTCTATGGCAGGTAAGCCAAGGTATATGTGAGAACCCAGTGGTTGATGGGTTACATTTCCCAGGCTTTCTAATTAAGGAAGTGATTTCTGGGGTGTTACTGGTTAGATTTCCTGGCAAGCAGACTCAGACAGGGTTTAGTATGCAGGAGGTTTACTACGGAACACTCTTGGGATCAACGCCTGTGCAAGGGAAGGGAAGGATGGACAGAGGGAGAAGTGGAACTGCAATGCAATCTCACTAGAAGTCTAGTTTGACCTATGGGGAATTCTAGAATGACCCTAGAGTAGTTCTGAGTTGCGGCCTGTGGGCCAGGCCTTTACAGGTCAGTGATACTTCTATCAGCCATGGGGTACAGGCCTTCTAGGAAGGGAAGTCAGCCCTCTTCAGCCAAAGCAATTCTGCTGAGGGCTTACTGTTGGCAGCACTTCCAGCAGCTGGAAATTGAGTCATTTGTTCCTGAAGGGGATCTGGTGCATCACAGTGTCCACTACACAACTGGACACCTTGCTGGAAAGCCTTGGAAAAAGATATTTTAGTCTGAATCCCTTATTTTATTGATAAAGAAACTTGGGCCCAGACAGAATGAACAATTTGTCAAATGTCAGAAAGATACAGAGCTGACACAACTAGGTCTCCGAATTCCCTTTCCACTGCCCTATACAATGTCAGGATAGCAGGCTAAACAGGTGGAGCAGGGTGTGACTAGATTGCAGTTAACTTTCTGTCCAACAGAGGCCTCAGAAGGTAATTTGCTTGGCTTTTTTTTTCTGCTGCTGCACAGGTGTGATGTAATCGTTACCTTCTACCATACTACCTAAATCTCTTCCTACTTTAAGTATCACTTAAGCTGTAGTGAAAATACCATATCAAAGTGTTGTTAGGTGCCATCAAGTCAATTTCAACTCGTAGCAACCCTATATGATAGAGTAGAACTGCCCAATAGGGTTTTCTTGGTTCTAATCTTTACGGGAACAAATCCTGCGGAGCCACTGGGTGAGTTCCAGCTAGACCTTTCAGTTAGCAGCCAAGTTCTTAACCATTGCACCACCAGGGCTCCTTATCAAAGTATAGGAGGAAATAATCAGTTCTGAATTGCTCCTTAGGTAAGGAAAAATTAGGAGTGCATCTTCCCTGTGAGTTCATATACTATGGAGGAAGGTAAATCTCAATCCATCTCAGCAAGCCTGAGCAACACCTTCTGCCCTGCAGATACCTCTTGGGATAACCAAATAATCAAGGAACGGTGGGAGCCTGGTTGCATAGTGGTTAAGCACTTGGCTGCTAACCAGAAGGTCGGTGGTTCAAACCCACTAGCCCCTCCGTGGAAGAAAGATGTGGCAGTTTGCTTCATTAAAGATATACAGCCTTAGAAACCCTATGAGGCAGTTCTACTCTGCCATATAGAGTCACTATGAGTTGGAATTGACTTGATGGCAGTAATTTTTTTTTTTGTATTCTTCAAGCACTTGTAATGAGCAAGACGCTGTGCCAGGTGTTGTGAGGAGTAAGACGTGGAACTTGCTCTCTGACTTCCAGAAGTGCACAGTCTCACTAATGACACAAGACACACAGCCAGGAAGTTAAATAGCAATATGGTATGCTATATTATATTAGCACTAAGTACCAGAATGAATGGTAATAAAGAATGGGGAAGAGATAATAGCTAGGCTTTATTGAGTGCTCACTATATGCCAAGAACGATTCTTATAACCCTGGAGGTTGATATTTTTATTAACTTCATTTGCAGTCAGGGAATAAAAATATAGTGAAAAAAAAGTATTAGCTCACACTGCTTAGTAAGTAGCAGAGGCAGGTATCAAACCCAAATGAGCTGGCTCTTGAGCCTGCATGCATAACCACTTCTCCATACTGCCTCTCTGTAGATGCTAATGGAGATCAATATGGCCTCCGAAGGACCCTGTGCTGGAGCTGTGAAAATTTTAATTTCCCAATTTTCACCCAGGACAAGTTCATTTCTGGATGCAGAATTTGAGAAACTTTACTTTTCAGCTGTTTCATGTATACCAGTGTTTTTTACAGTAAGTGAAGTTATATTGACCTTGGAAAAGTTATTTAACCTCTCTGTGCCTCAGTTTCTTCATCTATAGAGTGGAAGAATAATAGTATCTATTTCAGGGTTGGGTAAGGAGTTAATACATGTAAGGTACATAAACAGCATGGCACACAGCAAACACTTGTTAATAATTTCACTTTAGAGTTCATTTGTAGATTTCATCAGCATTGTACTTCAAACAGGGACTTGTTAAAAGATGTAGATAGATGCAGTGCTTTCGCCTGGATGCTTACCACTGTGGAGTGAGAAATCATCATCCCCATTCCCACTCCCTCACTTCCTGTTATACTAGGACAGAACCTCAGCCATAGCTAGCTGGTAGCTTCTGCTGATCCAAGGAACAAGAATTAGGGTCCTAACACAAACTCCAGTTTCTCCCAAACAAATTTTCACCTCTTCACAAATTCCTTTATTGGAAAGCACTTTTTTTAAAATCATAAATACTCCACTGCTCAGCCAAAATCCAAGCATTCAGTAGCTGTAATGTGATACATGTACAGGAAAGGTAGTGACAAATGTTTAACTCATTCACTTTCATAATTATATAAGACCCTGATGATTGGAACTGAATTCTACTACAAGAAGAGCAGAATATTTTAGTTTTTGAATGGTAAAACTTATTTTAGGGGAAAGAAATTTGTTTTTAACACTTAGTTCTAAACATGAGTTCTGTATACTTAATCCTTTTTCATAATGGGCCCATCACTAATCTTTCTTATAATTATATATGACAGTGTTACTCAAAGTGTGGTCTAGGGACAGATGCTTGTTCATAAACTATTGTGTTGTTGTTAGCTACCATCAAGTCAGCGCCCAACTCACAGTGACCCAATACACAATGGAACAAAATGCTGCCCAATCCTGCACTATCCCCATGATTGGTTATGAATTGGACCGTTGTAATCCATAGGGTTTTTATTGGTTGATTTTCAGAAGTAGATTGCCAGGCCTTTCTTTCTAGTTTGTCTTAGTCTGTAAGTTCTGCTGAAACCTGTTAATTGTAGCAATACCCAAGCCTCCACTGACAAACGGGTGGTAGCTGCACAAGGGTGCATTGGCCAGGAATTGAACCCAAGTCTCCCACATGGAAGGTGAGAATTCTACCAATGAACCATCACCGGGCTGCAAAAACTTAAGATCAGAGATTGTGAGTTAAACACTTAGAAATTTCCATAGCAGTTTGTTATTTCCACTATAACATCCAAGTCTGTGATCCAAGGTCTCTTCTTGTTGAACAGGGTATAGACTAGTTTGATTGTTGTCAAACTCAAGTGGTAATTCACATGTGGTAGGAGCTGCATACTAGCCATACACAGTAGAACCACATGTTAGTATGTGGGAGTTTAGAAATAAAATACCTGGTCCTTCACCATGGATAGTTTGAGAAACACTGCTCTGGGAGAATAGCAGACAGCTCTCTAGGTTGATCTGAAATGTGGTATTTCCTTGGATGCTCTTCCATTAACTGGTCCTGTAATGAATTGCTACATTAGCACTCATAAGCGTTGAACTACAAAAGCATAATTGGTCTCTGCTTCGTGCAAACTTATAAATGATTCTTTAAAACATATGGCACTTATAGAAGCAATATGGACTCAATCCACATCTGCCCTTATCATCCCCAACTAAAACATCCAGCAGTGACATATACACTCATTATTGTCTCACGGAGATACCTTGAAAAACGTATTTAAAGAGTGTTATGGATTGAATCGTGTCTGCAGAAAGTTATGTTGAAGTCCTAACCCCTGTACCTGTAAATATGACCCTGTTTGGAAATAGTTGTTTTCTTTTGTTGTGTTATGAGGCCATACCAGAGTAGGAAAAAAACAAAAACCAAATCCGTTGCCGTTGAGTCCATTCCAACTCATAGCGACCCTATAGGACAGAGTAGAACTGCCCGATAGGTTTCCGAGGAGTGCCTGGTGGATCTGAACTGCTGACCTTTTGGTTAGCAGCTGAACTCTTAACCACTACGCCACCAGAGTTTCCTACCAGAGGAGGGTGGGCCCCAAACCTAATCCCTGCTACGTGGTGTTTGATAAAGGGGAGTACAGACAGAGAGAGACAGACGCACACGGGGGAAGAGGCCCCAGATGCAGCAAAGGAACGCTAACAATTGCCAGCAGTCACCAGAAAGGCCGAACAGAAGGAATTAGAACTATGAGAAAATAATTACCTGTTCTTTAAATCCACCCATTTGAGATATTTTTTGTTACAGCAGCACTAGGTAACTAAGACAAAAGGAGTAGTAGATCATATTCAGTTTTTCCTTGGCACCACTCTTAAATTCCCATGAATCCTTCTAATTTTTATTAGTCCTAGCCTAATTCTTTTTAGCCCTGAACACATGGGCCTGTTTGCATTTCCATGACTTAGTGAACGGTGGAAACAAAGTGAACTCTTAGCTAATACCTGCCCTTCCTCGTTCTTGCTAAAAAGTCTCTTTTTTTTAATAGGAAAATATATTTGTTGATCGATCAAGGATGGCTCCGAAGACTCCAATAAAAAATGAACCAATTGATTTATCGAAGCAAAAAATCTTCACTCCAGAAAGAAATCCTATTACTCCGGTTAAGCTCATCGACGGACAGCCGGTAGAACCATGGACACCCACAGCTAACCTGAAAATGCTCATTAGTGCAGCCAGCCCTGACATAAGGGACCGGGAGAAGAAAAAGGGACTGTTCAGACCCATTGAAAACAAGGATGATGCATTTACAGACTCTCTACAGGTAAACAGGCTGTGTTCCTAAGGACTTTTACTGAATTTTTTTTAAGTTACTTGATTATTAAACAGTCACTGAATTCTCAAAGAATTTTTCAGTTACTGTTGAGCCGAAAGCATTAGTAAACTTAATGTCTTTTTTTAAATTTACAGCTGTATCTCATTTTTCATAATGAATACTTTCTTTTCTTCTGTTACTCCCTTGACCAGTACACATTTTAAAATGATGAACTTTTTTATGTAATAGTGTTTAATAATTTTGATTTAAGGAAGGAATTTGGGGTTTTTTTAATGATGTTGTTAATTTTCACTTTGCTTCAATTTTAAGGGTAATAGAATCTAAGTAATTTTGACTTGGAAATTTCATTCTTGTATATCTTAACTTTGTTGGCTTGGCGCTTTATTAAAGTAAAGCCATCTTTAAATTACCTGTCTTGTGGGGGAACCAGAGCTGTTGAATAATTATCTTATCTATACTTTAAAAAAAACAAAACAAAAAACCAGTGGTCAGTTTTCACTCTCCGATCAAACTTTTCCCCAAACTTGCCAACACATAATAAAAGTTACTCGTAGATTTGAGTCTTATCTTTGCCAGTTTTCCTCCTTTTGGTATTCTTTTCTTTTTTTTTTTTTTTTTGGCAAAGAGGGGCTATAAAAATTGCCAAAATGAAGAAGTTGGGAAAGGAGAAAATAATTTAATCCATCTCTGAATTACAATTGAAATTAATATAGCAAAATGAATTTAGTCTGCTATACACTTAATTGCAGGGATAGAGCTTAAAAGATTCCTTCATGTAATTAAATACAAATCATACAATTTTGAGAATAGTTCTTACACGCTTAAAGCCAGAAAGACCAGAAAGAAATTCATAATTCTTCTGTTAAGTCCAGGCTGTTCTTTTGCTTCCTTTTCCATTTTATATTTGATGGAGAAAGTGCAAAAGACTTGGTTTCAGAGGCCTTGGGTTCGAATCATTAGCTGAGTGGCTTGGGTAAAATCACTCAGTGTCTCTGTACCTTAGTTTCCTCATCTGTACAATGGGATCATAATATTTGCCCTGATTATATTAGGGTTGTAAGAATTGAATGAAATTAGATGTGCTTTTTACTATGAAAGGCATATAAATATTAGTTGTTTTTTATTTTCTTCACAAAAAGTAGCAAAGGTAAAATCACCTAAGGAGCAACCTCTTTCACGAGGTAATGTTATTGATCTATTGCTTTGGTAGAACTAGTTGATTCATTTGCCCCTAAAACAATTAAGTTTTGGTTTCTATCCAAGCTTTGTAGGAGAATTTTCAACCTTTTAGTCATCTAAAAATGTGAATACCCTAAACTTTGAGTGGCCTGAAGAAAAACTTTTAATATATTTTTTAGTTTGTTCTTTATTACATTTCTACTGACTATTTTATGATATCTGGTTGTCATACATGTAATATCTTTAATACCCATGAATCCACATCCCAACTCAAAAACCAGCACGATACTATTTAATCAACATCTGCTTCCCCAACAGAAACCTCTTATCTTGAATATGTATTTATCATTTCCTTGCTATTTTTAAATCACTCTATCACACATGTGTGTATGCTTATATAATATGTTGCTTAGGTTTTTGTTTTGTTTGGGTTTTAAGCTTGTAGTCTTCTGGGAGTTGCTTTTTTCCATCAACATCTATCCTTAAGGTTCATCCACATTTTTGTATATAGTTAGCCATAGTTCTCTCATTTTCACTGCTGTGTGATATTCCATTGCACGAATATATCACAATGTATTTATCTGTTCTCCTGTTTATAGTCATGTGGGTTGTTTTTAGTTTGGGGCTCATATGAACTATTAAAAAAAAAACCAAACCCGCTGCCATCAAGTTGATTCTGACTCATAGCGACCCTGTAGGAAGGAGTGGAACTGCCCCATAGGATTTCCAAGGACTGGCTGGTGGATTTGAGCTGTTAACTTTTTGGTTAGCAGCCAAATGCTTAACCATTGCACCACCAGGGCTCCAGTACAAACTATGCTGCTGTGATATTCTTGTACATGACTGCTGGTGTATATATACGAGAGTTTCTCTAGGGCAGCAGTTTTCAACGTGTGGTCTTGGGACCTCAGAGTCCCTGAGACTCTTTCAGGTGGTCAACAAGGTCAAACTTATTTTCATAATAATAAGATACTTCCCTTTTGAACTCTCTTTCTCTCACAAGTGTACACTGGAGTATTCTGGTGATGACATGTGGTTATTACAACAGATTGAATGCAGAAGCAAACATGAGAATCCAGTTCTCTTCTGTTAAGCCAGACACTAAAGAGATTTGAAAAAATACATAAAATTGTGCCACTTTTCTCACTAAACATTTTTTGTCTTAGCAAATGTAGTTACTTTTCATTAAAAAATATGTCATCTCTGTTTTTTTAAATATAATTAAATGTTTTAAAGTGTCTCCATTTTAATTTCTAATGTGGTAAATACTGATAGATAAAATCCGCGTAAACAAAAAGCCCTTTGGGGTCTTCTGTCTATAATTTTTAAGAATATAAAGGGGTCCTGAGACCAGAAAGTTTCAGAACTGCTGTTCTAGGGTACACACCTCGTGGTGGGATTACTAGGTCATTGGATATGCGATAATGCTAGACTGTTTTCTAGAAAAGTGCTGTTTGTTTTCACCAGCAATGTATAAACATTTATTGATCCACATTATTTCTGGCACTTGAAATTGTCAAATTTATTAATTTCTGCCAATCTAGTGGGTTTTGTAGCTTATTATGTTCATTTGCATTCTTTGATCGCTCATGAGGTTAAGCACCTTTCCTCGTGTTTACTGACCACCATGTTTCCTCTTCTGTGAAATACCTGTTTGTGTTTTTTGCTAATTTATATTGGGTTGTTTCTCTTCTCGGATTGATTTGTAGCAGTTTATCACATATTCTTGATACTAAACGTTTATCGATTATATGTGTTGCATATATATTCTTTCAGTCTGGTGCTTGTCTTTTCACTTTATATTGTTGGTTGGTGAACACAGGTTCTTAATTTTAACATAGTCCAGTTTATCGATTCTTTCTTCTAAGGTTGGTGCTTTTTATGTCTGTTTTAAGAAAACCTTCCCTATTCCAAGGTTAGAAAAATATTCTCCGATATTTTCTTCATTTAAAAATTGCTTTATAAGTTTAAAACCTTAATCCATTTGGAATTGATGGTTTTGTATCATGTGAGTCAGGTATACAATTTGTTTTTTCTATGTGGATAGTCAATTGTCCCAACACCATTTATTCAATAGTTCTTTCTCTTCTCCCCAGTTGGCAGTATTACCTGTGTCATATATCAAAGTTTCATTTATGTGTGGGTCTGTTTCTAGACTCTTTTCTGTTCCATTGGTCAATTTATTCATCCCTACACCCATACCATGTTATAACAAGCCTGATATTAGGTAAAGCAATACTTTCACCTTTTTTTTTTTTTTTTTTAATCAGGAAGATCTTGGCTATTCTTGGCCCTTATTCTTCCATATACACTTTAGATGACATTTTAATTGGTGTTACATTCAATCTGTTAGATTAATTTGGGATTAATTAGCATCTTCATGGTACTGAGTCTTCCTCTCCATGAAGATAGTCTATTTTTCCATTATTTAGATCTAAACTTTATTATTTTATGCAAATAGTTTTGGTAGATTCCTAAGAACCTTATCATTTTTGTTGCCATTGTAAATGATGTCTTTCTCTTAAGTCATTTTCTATTTTGGTTATATAGGAATGCAGCTGATTTCTTTTAAATATTGATCTTCTACTCAGCTACCTTGCTAAATTCTCTTATTTCTAATAATTTGTCTGAGTTTCTTTTGAGTTTTTAATGTAAACAACCTTCTTTTCTGCAAAATGAAAGTTTTCTTTATTCCTTTCCAATTCCTGTGCCTCAGTTTCGTTTTCTTGTCTTCATGCACTTGTCTTCTTCATCCAGTATGGTGTAGAAGAAGTGGTGTGATAATGAGCATCCTTATTGTTTTCCTGATTAGGGAATTCTCCCAAGGTTTTCCCATTAAGACAGATGTTTGCTGTTGAGTTTTCATGGGTACACTTTTTTAATTTAAAGAAGTTCTCCTATTTAGAAAACTATCCTTTTAGTTTTCTAAGGGATTTTTGGAAATCATGAGTGAGTGTTAAATTTATTAAATGCTTTTTATGAATCTACTGAGAAAATCATATCATTTTTCTCCTTGAATTATCTTCATTGAAAAGACTTCTGCTTTCTTGGGGCTTGAACTGAGTTCTTTCACATGGAGGTTGATGAGACAAGTGCACTGGTCTGCTACACTTACGGTAAGGAAGCATAAGATTTAGCTGCCCCTATTCAGTTTCGTTAACCCTTGGTCGGTTGTAAAAAATAAACCAAAGCAGTTTGGCAATACAGTGCAGGCCAGTGCACCGCAAACTTTCACATCAATGGGAATCACCTAGGATCTAGGCAAAGACAGATTCTGATACAGCAGGTCTGGGTTGAGGCCTGAGCTTCTGGTGATGCTGATTCTACAGGTCCAGTAACCACACTGTTAACAAGGGTTTAACAGCCTGTAAATAACTGGATTTTTTTATTGTCTAAGCCTTTAACCAATAGACTCAGCCTCAAATTGCAAAGAAGAAAACATTTAATACAGAGAACAGGTAAAATGGTACGAAAATTAGATTAGACAATGTTATTTTAACCAGAATCAAAGATGGTATAGATTGGATGTCCCCCTCAACTGGCCAGTACTTGCCATTACAACTTCTCCATTAGAAAATTAACTGTTACATCTCCCCTCTTCCTTCTATCTGCCCTCTATAGCTTGATGTTGTTGGGGACAGTGCTGTGGACGAATTTGAAAAGCAAAGGCCAAGCAGAAAACAGAAAAGTTTAGGACTCCTGTGCCAGAAGTTTCTAGCTCGCTACCCAAGTTATCCCTTGTCAACTGAGAAAACTACTATCTCCCTAGATGAAGTTGCTGTCAGTCTTGGTATGTATCATCAGCTTACCTGGAGACCTGTCTCCAGTTACAATGGGAAACTGATTTCATTGGGGAGGCTGAAGGCCTTAGGTGGTAGCACTTTTTTTAAGCAAAGAGTGGGCCCTTCAAAAGGGTGAAGACAGAGGAGCAGGGAGAGCTTCCTTTGTCATCAAATTTCTCTTCATTATGCATAGAATTTCAGGGATCCTTCTAGGCCAAAGTGTTAAAAACCTTTTTTAGATTTTTTTTTTAATTTAAAAAATATTTTTATGAAATAATATTTTTATAACAGACACATTATAAACTAATGTTCTCATTTTATCTTACCTCAGACATACTAAAAAATGATTTAGAAATATCCTATTTATTTGTAATAATCTTCCAGGAGTTCAGAACTGGTTTTATTTCCTTTATAAAGCAAGATATGAGAGCAAAAGCATTACATTTGAAGCCCTATATCACAATATTGACAGCAAACCTGCCAAAGTAGAAAAAAAAAACACATCTAGATGTAACTGAAATAGTTAAACCTTATAACAAAGAGGGATTCATGTGTTCACATGGCATGCGTGTGTATAATGTGGGACAGTGTGGCTATAAATACGTATACAGCTGCTTCAGAATAGAGACGCCTTGGCATGGATTGCAGTTGGTTTCAGGATGAACATATTAATGACAATCATTAAGCAAAAATCACAGTGGTTTGAAAGTGGCTCAGGGTGTTCCTTAAAAAATAAGAGGTTTTACATACAGAACCAAAAAGAAAAACCAAGACCTGTTGCCATCGAGTCGATTCTGACTCGTAGGGACCCTTTAGGACAGTAGGGTTTCCAAGGCTGTAAATCTTTCTGGAAGCAGACTGCCACAGCTTTCTCCCACAGAGCAGCTGGTAGGTTTGAACCTCTGACCATTTGGTTCGCAGTCGAGCGTTTAACCACTGTGCCACCAGGGCTCCTAGAAGTAAAAAGTTCTGAAGAAATCAGCTAAATAAGTTTCGTGGTAGATTATATTTTTAGTTTGTTTATTAGTTTATTTCTTCCCATAGCCCAGAGAAGTATGCTGCAGTAGATAATTGTCAATCTGAATTATTCAAGCTGGTGGCTGAAAAGAAGATTTTAGTTTTCAGAAGCTAAGATAATGAGGAGGCAATAGGTTGTGATGGGAAGACTGTGAGCTGAACTTTGGGTCAGATAGGGCTGGGTTTGAAGCCCAGCTCCCCAGTTTACAGGCTGTGGGGCTTGAAAAAGTTACTTAACCTTTTCTCATCTATGAAATATGGACTGTAGCACCGACCTTGCAGAAACATTACAAGATTTGGAGACAATATCAGTAAAATACCTAACTCAGTGCCTCACATGAAGAACTCTTATTATTATGTGGAACAGTTTCTACTCAGCTCATAGTAGCTGAATCCCACCCGTGTCCTTCCGAAGCTGCCCTGTTACCCTGTATAGCTAGGAAGAGAAAGTAGGGTGCTGGGTTTGGGGAACCATTTTGGAACCCAGAAGTAGAATACAGTATTCTAAGATTGGGGCCAATGGAACAAATAGAGGAAGTGACCCTGCTAGACAGAGGCATAATGTTGAGCCAGTTAAAGAACAGGGTCCTGAAACTGGTCTTACGGTGGATGTTGTTGTTGTTGTGTGCTGTCAAGTCGATTCTGACTCATAGTGACCCTATAGGACAGAGTAGAACTGCTCCATAGGCTTTCTTAGGCTGTAAATCTTTACCGGAACAGATTGCCGGGTCTTTCTCCTGCAGAGCAGCTGGTGGGTTCGAACTGCTGACCTTTTGGTTAGTAGCCAAGCACTTAACCATTGTGCCACCAAGACTGCTTTACAATGGGTAAGGGTAAAACTATAGATCATCCAGTGTTTTTTCAATGGCATTCTGTCTTCTCAATAGAGTTCATGAAGCCAACATCTTCCATATACCCAACTTTCATCAACAGGCCTTACACTCATGTCAATGTAGAAGGCAAACAATGAAGAGTTGGAAGGCTATGTTACAGGTCCCAAGGAGGACAGAAAAGTGGAACCCTACTCTAGTATGGGTTGCAGAGGATGCTGCAAATCCCCATGTTATAGCTGCCAGGAGCAGAACTCCAGAGATTTTTTACAACAGCTTCCCATTGCCTCCTAATCACCCAGACCTGCCAAATGCACATGCCATCTCTCTCATGGCAGTGTCTCTTCTTGGAAGCTGTTTCAGAGGTACCCTTCTCTTGGAGTTAAATTCACTGCTACATCCCAGGTTACAAGGTATAAGATCATATTTTAACCACGGATATGCAGAGCATTGAGATTGCATTGTTTCCTGGATTCTGGTGCCATCAAAGTTTGAGATTGACATTATAGGTAAGAAAAAGAACTGTGACTTTGGCAAATGGAAAATAACACAGCCTAGGAAACTATTTTATTGGACTGAGAGAGGTTCTTGATAAGCTCCACTAGGGACTAAGGGAAGCGTGGTAACAACTGGTAAATCCTTGATAACAAATCCCATGACTAAGATTAATAGGATTTCTTTGGTACAAAAGAAAAAGATGGCTGAATGCCAGAGAAAACCTTCCTGATAGGAAGTCCCCAAAATAACTTACAGACCTTGAGATCTGTGAAATGGAACTTTCTAGTACAGCAGCCAACAGACAGTTAAACTCAGTCCAGATGGAAAAGGCAAGTGACTAACCAGGCAAGCGGCTGCCACATTTGCCTTTTCCAGCACCATCTTGTAAACATTCATTGGGCATATTAAGCAGCACCTTACTCTCCAAGTGGTCAGAATCTTTAATTTCCTTCTCAGGATGTCTAGCCACTAGATGGAGACTTAACAGCTTCTAGTTCTATCAAATACATAATGACAAAATGGGCAGGCATGTGGCTGGCCTTGGGGTGTCTCAGTTGCATTCACATGACATTTCTAATGGGAAGGTTTATAGAACATTATACTCTAAACAAGATGAATTAATATATGAAGATAGATAAGAAGTAGGCGGTTCTGGACAAGGGCTGCTGACTTGATCCTGCCAGCACCTTCCAGGAGGCATCTGGCACCCGAGCCTGCACTTCTGAGGGTGAAGAGCATTCAGGGTCATAAGCTGAAAACTCCCAGTTGACTGTGGAATACTTTCTCATGCATGTGACAGAACTTTCTCTGGGCTCCAAAGTTTTCATTGTCATTTGGTCTATTTCTCATGTTAAATCTTTGAAGGGCCAAAAGCTGCATTCACTGAATCTGCCCTGATTATATTACAGCTCCTGGCCAGTGAGCCAAAAGAAGGGCATCTTTGTAGCTGGGCTGGTTTTCTGGGAGATGCCTGGAGGCTTTTGTTATGGATACTTAGATGACAGCAAATGAGGCCTGTGGACACCGAAGCCTAAGGGCCTGTTGTACAACAGGATGTGCCATAGATGGGAGGTTTTAAAAATCTGTTTCTACTGTGCGCTCTTAAGCTAGTAGGGATTGCAGGTATCTCCAATGCCAAGCAAAATATGTTCACAATACAATGTATGATAGTATAGGTTGTAGATAAAATTAACACCCACCGTGGACCCTTTACATTTATTATCACATTTAAACCTCATCCTTTTATGAGATAAATATGAAGGCACAAGAATGGAAAATAACCTGCCCAGGACCACCCAACTGGTGGTTCCCACGCTTAACCACTATAAATATTGTTGGTAAACTCGATGTCAGCTCATAATCCTAGCTGTTTAAGGATGTTGGGAAAATGAGTAAGAACTTGATGAACTTCATAGTCAGCCTGTATGAGTCTCTGTGCTTCACTTCGAGCTGTCTGGCAGGATATGGTGAATAGCACAGAGAGAGTTAGTTGTCAGTAGCCATGAGAGCAAAAGGAGACACCTGTGTTGCTCCAGCCCTGCTTATGGCTTCTTCCAGCAACCTGAGAAGGGTGCCCATGCTCTTGATTCCTGAATTTCTAGTTCAAGATAGGAGACAAAATATTTACCATCTTTTTTTCCTTACTGGACCACTAAGAGAGTTAACAAGGTAGTTTTTTCACATCATTGAAACTCCAAGCAATGATACCATCCAATAATGAGGTGTCAGTTATTGAACATGTTTTATTGTATAGTCTCCATAGCGAGGAATACAAATCAAAGTCAACTATCCAGCATACATCAAGCATCCATTAAGAACACTATTACATGTATTACTCAGTGCCATCAATTTTGATTTGCTGAAATGCTTATGTGGTTTGCCTGACACGTCTAAAGAAACATGGCTGTGCTGTTTATGAAACACAGATGGAACTATCATCTGTCTCTAGATGGATGTTTTATCCTAGATCTTACTGAGTTTTGGATCCCAAGAAGAAGAAAAAATAATAATTTCTGTTGCTTGCATCCTTACAGGTTGAATTGGTTGAATATCCACACTCGCTGGGCATTGCACTGGGCATCGCACTGGGCATCATATAGTTTCCAGGCTCTCGAGGAATTTATACTCAAAAATGTTCAACTGCATGATGTCTATTGGCTTGTGTTTTTCAAACAGGCGTTGAAAGGAGACGCATCTATGACATTGTAAATGTGCTGGAGTCGCTGCAGCTGGTCAGCCGGGTGGCCAAGAATCAGTACGGCTGGCATGGACGGCACAGCCTGCCAAAAACCCTGAGGAACCTCCAGAGACTAGGAGAGGAGCAGAAATATGAAGAGCAGATGGCATACCTCCAACAGAAGGAGCTAGACCTGATGGATTATAAATTTGGAGAACGGAAAAAAGATGGCTATCCAGATTCCCAAGACCAACAGTTACTGGATTTCTCTGAACCTGACTATCCCTCTTGTGAGTCCATTATAACCACATGAGTAATGGCAGAGTGAAGAGTGGTCTCTTCTGAAGAGATTACTACTAAAATGGGAAGTGCCAGATTGACAACCCTGGAGGGAGGCGCCCTCTTATTCTCTCCTGGAGAAAGGGAGACAGATGGCTCCCCAACTGGGCTGCCCTGTCAACCTCACTTAAAGCCTGTCTAGTGGCAGTTCAGCTGATATTTCATGGTTTTGGACCATAGATCGCTAACAGTACTCCTGTTTTAGATTGACTGTCCCGTGCTGTTTTCTTTTTGTGAGCCTTTATGTAAAAATTGCTTTGAAAGTAATATTTTGAAAAATTCCATTTAAAAAAAAAAGATTATATTTTGGAGTGGATTACTTAGAAAAGAACCTTTTACCAAAAAAATGTTGATTTACAAAGACAATACCTGCTTTCATTTGATGCAGAAATTTGGGGGGGCTTATATCTGCATTGCCCCTCCTCTCCACCATCAACTCATATTTGTCAGGGCTTGCTTCTCCTGTTTTACCCATTGATCTTATCATTCTTAACCCTCCTCCCTATTGCTAAGATGATAAAGTGCAAGTATCACTCACATTTCACTTGCAAATACTAGAAAAGGAAAGAATGGTGGACCTGGTTTTCATTAGATTCACTACCTCATGCCTTTTAGTTCCACCCCATGAGCCAGTACTTATCCTAATAACCAAAGGAGACAGCCATCTGTCAGAGATGGTTTGCCTGCCATCCACATCTAATCAGTGTCTCCTTTTTACTTATAGTTTACCTATTCACCTACTTTGGAGGAGAATTGGAGGAGGTGGACACCTAGTATGTAGGGTATATTCTAGGTATTGTGGGTGCAGAGAAGTAAAAATGGAGTCCTTGCCTTTGAGGGAAGAGTTGATGTCCTGAAAACAAGTCCTGATCCCTGCCTTATCCTTTTATTCTGCATTCATCTTCCCAAAAAGTCACTTCAAGAAGACAGCATCATGGATTCTATGAAGTATGAGTATAAAGCATTAACAGAAGTTTAAAATACGTGCTTCAGAGTTTCTGCCTACTGCAGAGTAATTTTATGAGCCACAAGAAAATTAATTTTATTTCTTTATGGGCCAACTTTTGTGATGTGTGTCTAAATAGGCTCCTGCCTATAACAAGGATGGTCTTTCCATCTGCTGGTTTCAAAACTAGATAGTTCCAGCTAACTCTAAGTACATTGTTCATGGTGGTAAATTGTATGTTTGATGCTTTCATTTATTCCCTTTGCAGCATCTGCAAATAGTAGAAAAGACAAATCTTTGAGAATTATGAGCCAGAAGTTTGTCATGCTGTTCCTCGTATCCAAAACCAAGATTGTTACTCTTGATGTGGCTGCCAAAATACTGATAGAAGAAGGCCAAGATACTCCGGATCATAGTAAATTTAAAAGTAAGAGTCTCTACCTGTGTCCATTTATCAGCACCAAAAGGGTGGGATTTCACATGTTGGTATTTTCTGCCTGAGATTGATTGATTTATTTCTTTTTGGTGAAACGCACTTCTTGCTGCACTCATAAAGCTTGTTGGTGTTGTGCTGTTGTTAGCTGCCGTTGAGTCGACTCTGACTCATGGCGACTTTATGAGCAACAGGACAAAATGTTGCCTGGTCCTGCATCATCCTCCTGATCACCAGCATGTCTGAGTCCATTGTTGTGCTACTGTGCCAGTCCATCTCACCAAGGGTCTTGTGGCCTTCTACTTCACCAAACATGATGTCCTTGTCTAGCAATTGATTCCCCCCTCAACGTCTCCAAAGTCAGACAACGTTCTGTTATGATTCATAAGGTTTTCATTGGGTGATTTTTGGCGCCAGGCCTTTCTTTAGTCTCTCTTAGCCTGGAAGCTCCACTGAAACCTGTCCACTGTGGGTAACCCTGCTGATATTTGGAATATTGGTGGCGTATCTCCCAGATCATAGCAACACACAAGCCACCATAGTACAACAAAATGACGGGTGGTAGGTAGTGTTGAGAAAGCTAAGTTAATCACATGCTAGAATTCCCATTAAAGTTTGTCAGATGCTTTTCCCTGGGCAGTTACGGTGGATAGTAAGAACGCCATCACCACAAACAGCAGTCAGGAAGGATATGAGCTACTTTGCATTTTTCATTAGTATCACTGCATCCAACAAGGAATGTCTGAGTTTTCTTTCCCCTTTTTTCCCCACCCCTTGCATACTTTTCTGAAGGGTGGAGATGAAAGTTGTCTACAGGTAAGAACTGGGTATGGTAGGGAGGCGGGATACGGCTCCTAGACAAAGGAGAGACATTCTGAGTACCACACCCAATGCATCTGCCTTTTCTGTCAGAGCACGGATACTGAGCCAAATGCCTCCAGTTGCTGGTAGCCCTTTCAAGCCTTGGGAAGCCATGAGCTCAACATTCTCTAGCTTTTTCTTTTTCCAGCTGGAATTCCAGCCATCCTGTGGGGGAAATGGCTAGATAAAATTTGGCCCTGTAAGAATTGGGAAGAAAGCTGCATCTGTGACTGCTCAGTGTTTCTAAACGATAGTCAAAGCTCCTTTGCTTGATCTTAGCCCTGAAGTCAAGGAGGTTTCCTGCCTGTAGATTGATATCTTGACTAGAGAATACTTTCTGTGTATTATCCCCTTGAGTTTCTTTTCTACTACATGCATTTTCAAATATCTTTCCCAGAGCCTCTCAAGATTCAGGGAATGCTCCCCACCCCAGTTTCTACCACCTCCATCTCCCCCCATCCCGTGTGGCTGAGTTGCTAGAACGCCGGGATTTGGGGTATGGAGCTGCCTGTCTTTTGCGGTTATACCTGGTGACCTTGAGACCTGGCCATTCTGCGTGCCCCGCAGTGCAGCCTCTGCAGGAAGTTCTGGGGAATCCCTGTCATTTTCACAGGCCCACTGATGCCATGACCTCCTGCTTGGAGAAACTCAGCCAGCTTCTGACTTGCCACATATCAGAATTACATCTACTAAGACTTTAATTACAGCCCATTTCCCTCCCTTGGTGTTTTTACAATTCCAGTGCACCCTGCATGTCACCAGGTAATCTTGTAAGAGGTGTGAAGTTGTGGAAATGGAAGGACACACTGACCTTCCCTTAGTATCTGTCTTCAGATACATCAGGTACATAAGTCCTGTGAGATTTAGTGACAAAGCTATTGGTCTCTTCGTCTCACCTCACTGCTTCCCCCTTGACGTTTATATGGTGGCCTAGAAAAGTTACCTAACGCATAAACTGAAATTTACTGGTGTCCGGAATGGTATAGCCATAACTGTGCTTTTTATCTTCAAGCAAAGGTACGCCGCCTCTATGACATAGCCAATGTTCTGACCAGCTTGGCTCTGATAAAGAAAGTGCATGTAACAGAAGAACGAGGCCGTAAACCAGCCTTCAAATGGATCGGGCCTGTGGATTTCAGCACCAATGGTAAGGCAGCGTGCTTGTCCAAGAGACCTATTTATTTATGATCCCAAATTTCTCTTTCATTTCATTTTCCTTCATTTCCCCTGTTGTTAGCATCAGGCCGGCCCCCAACTCATGGTGACCCCATGCACGATGGGATCAGACCATTGTGATCCAAAGGGTTTTCACTGGCTGATTTTTGGAAGTAGATTACCAGGTCTTTCTTTTTAGTCTTAGCCTGGGAGCTCCACTGAAATCTGTTCAGCATCACAACAACATGCAAGCCTTTGCTGACAGACAGGTGGTAGCTGCTAATGAGGTGCATTGACTGGGAATCAAACCTGGGTCTCCTGCATGAAAGGCGAGGAATCTACCACTGAACCACCACTTCCCCTTCATTTCCCGTACTAAAAAAAAAACCAAACCAATTCCAACACATAGGAACTCTGTACGACGGCGTAGAACTGCCCCATAGGGTTTCCAAGGCTATACATCTTTACGGAAATAGACTGCCACATTTTTCTTCTGTGGAGCAGCTGGTGGGTTCAAACTGCTGACTTTTCAGTTAGCAGCCAAGGGCTTAAACACTGTACCACCAGGGCTTCTCCACATTTCCTATGATCCAAGTCAAATGCAAAGTTAGACTAGTGACTTCACTCTTGGAACAGTAAGCATTAGCCTACAAACTGTGTTTACTGGTCAACTGACAAAGAGTGGGGCCAGGAGGCAGGAGAGATTCTGAGAGCTTCTTACTTGGGAGTTTCTGTAATTATTAAATTATAGCTCTTTAGAAGTGTTTTTTTTTTTTTGCTCCAAAGCTTTTTGCTGGAAGTTTGGGACTAAAGATTAAAAATGGCACTTCTTTTGAAACTCTGGTTGTTTCTATATTAGCGGGATAAAACATGGTTTTTCTTTTAAATTGCAGATAATGTAGAAATTATATCAATTATATCACAAAACTAATATGTGGTAAAATTGCATCTGAATATAATGTGGAAGTAATGAGCACCTTTTTCTGTAATTTATTTAAAAGGTTACAAATGTCGTAATTTTATTAAACTGGAGTAAGAGGGTATTATCTTCTACTTATTTCAGAGGTAATATCTGAGCAATCAGGGTCTAGATCCTACCACACCAGGTATTTTATATATAGCTGGGCTGCCTAGGAAAAAAGGCAATTGAAGTTATTTTTAAATTACCCTTACAATTTTGGTGCTAGTGGTATAAATTTGTGCCACTTAACCCAAGCTTGTAAAAAACATAGCTGTCCATCTCTCTTGTCACACATTATTTACTTAGGACTGGATGAAACCACTTAAGTATAAATAATTCAACCCAGCAAGTACTTACTGAGTGTGGACTGTGCACCAATTATGCTAAATGCTGTGAGAGATTTAAAGACATGTATGACGCAGTCCCTGCGTGCATGAAATACACAACTTTGCCATTTCCTGCTTCTCTACCTTTGGTTTTTCATATTCTTTTCCCCTGTCAGGCCTCTCCTCTCCTTGGCGTCTTCTCCACAGAAAAATATTCTACTCAACCTTCAAGACCTGGCTCAAATGTCAATTCCTCCACGAAGTTTTCCCTGATTACCCAAAGAATGACTCATCTGAACTACTGCAATTTAGTATTGTACTTGGTGATGTTGATGTTATGGCATTGCCCCTGGTCTACGTGTTTGAGTGCAGAGACTTTCTTTATCCATCTTTGATTACCCAGCTCAGTGCCTTCCTCATATTAGTTGGTTAAAGAGCTTCTACTGAAGGTGGAAAATTAGCACACATTTGAAAATTACAGAGCAATTCAATGCTAGACAGGGTAGTACGCTCTGTCGGAATTCAGCAAGAATACAGGTTGAGTTCTGATGGACTTTTGGGTTTCGGAGGGATGGAGAGCCTTTTAGTTAAAGGAACAACGTAAGAAACAAATTTGGTTTGCTGGGGAGACCAGCCACCCTGATTAAAGTGGAGCGTATAGGATACAAAATACTGAGAAATCAGATTTGGTCTATTAGGACCACATTTTGGAAGGCCTCAAAACCTAAGCCAAGAAATTTGGACTAGTTGTAATAGGTAGAAGAGAACAAAAACTTAGGAGATGGTACCACTGTAGAAAATAAGATAGTTGGGGAGGTGAGCTGGTGTTTTAAGGCTAAGGAATTCATGTATTTGCATGACCAGTGGGACAGCAATTGGGAGAGCTCTGTGCTCTCTCGAGGAGAAGACTTGGAGCCAGGCCAGTGTATCTCCGAGTGGACCACCTGCATCAGAATGTCCTGGATACTTGGTTCCAGGTCCCATCCTAGGCCAACTGAACCAGAGTCTCTTGGGGAAAAGGACAGGAATCTGGATTTTTAACAAGTTCTGATATGATTCTTATGCACACTAAAGTTTAACCTCTTGATTTGTTTATAAAAAAATAAATTTAAGTAGAAATTCCAAGGTGTGTACCCCCACTCTAAGCCACCATGGAGTTACCATTTCCCATGCTCATCATTCCTTTTTGTAGAGTCCAGGTTTCCATCTGGTATCATTTTCTTCTTGATGAGCTTTTTTTTTTTAACATTTCTGCTAGTTCAGGTCTGCCAACGATGAATTATTTCAGCTTTGTGTATCTGAAAGCATCTTTATTTTTCCTTTGTTTTTAAAAGATATTTTCGCTGGGCAGTGGATTCTGGGTTAACAGGGTTTGTTTGGTTTTGTTTTTCAGTACTTTAAAGAACTTGTTCCACTGTCTTCTAACTTGCATTGTTTCCTACAAGAAATCTACTGTAATCCTGTTCTGTTTGTAACATTTTTTTTCCTCTGGTTGCTTTTAAGATTTTCTGTTTTATGGCTGGTTTTAAGCATTCTGATTATGATGGCCTTGGTGTAGGTCATGTTTTTTGTATTTGGCTTTGTTGAGCTTCTTGGATCTGTGGGTTTAACTTCATCATATTTGGCTAATTTTGGGCCATTATTTCTCAAATGTTTCTTTTCTGTTCCCTCCTCTCCCCTGTCCTTCGGGAGCTCCAGTGACACATATATTTGGCTGCTTTAAGTTATCCCACAGTTCACTGATGCTTTTTTCATTTTTTTCAGTCTTTTTTCTTGATTCATTTTAGATAGTTGCTATTGCTATGTCTTCAAGTTCCCTATTTTATTCTGTAGTTAATATTTGCTATTATTAATATTTCGTGTTACTATCTGCCGTTAGTATTTTTCATCTTAGACGCTGTAGTTTTCATCTCTACAAGTTCAGTTTGGTCCTTTATGTTTTCCATGTCTGTATGTAATATGTTCAGTCTTTTTTCTAGCTTCTTGAACATATGGAATACAATTATATAATAACTCTTTTAACATCCTTGTCTACTAATTCTATCATCTCTGTCATTTCTGGGTCAGTTTCAACTTATTTTTATCCTCATTGTGGGTTGTATTTTCCTTCTTCTTTGTGTATCTGGTAATTTTTAATTGTATGCCAAACATTGAGAATTATACATGGTTAGCAGCTGGATATTTCTGTATTCCTAAAGATGTTCTCGAGCTTTGTTCTAGGAAGCAGTGAAGTTACTTGGAAACAATCCTTTCAGGTTTTGCTTTTAAGCTTTGTGAGGCAGCTGGGGCAATCGTAGAGCTCACCTCATTTGATTCCTGTCTTGGGAATCACTGTCCTTCATTGCTTGATATCCAGTGTCTTAAGAGCTGTTGCTTTATATATTTTGTCCAATTTTCTATTTGTTTCAGAAGAAGGGTAAATATGATCCCTGTTACTGTCTTGACCCATTTTCTTCTTTTTAAGTCTGTAATTTCAGTTTTCTAAAATAACATTTATTAGGCTTTTGTTATAAGAAAGAGAAAATTATAAGGGTGATTTCCTTTTTAATTTTTAAATTTAAAAATTATGCTCTTTACATTAACGTGAAAGTTACGGTTAGATTAACGTGAAAGTGCGTGTTCTAGAAAATGTCTGTCTAAGGGGGCCTTTCAGTTTGTTAAATCAGTCTTAAATTTAAAATGTACACCCTTTGAGGTTATTTTAAAAAATAGTAGAAATGGACTGGGCAGTAATGCCAGTCTGAGCACCAGGGTCAGCTGCCTGACTGTATAGGTAAGGCTCTATTTTAACTTCACACAGACTCCCTTAAGCATAAAATGTACCTCCAAGGCCCAACCTTCTATTATCCTCACTGTTCTACAGCATTTCAACTGTGAAATTTCTGCCGACCTTATTTCTTTGGTCGCTTAGTAACTGAGCCTCCTACCATATAAGAGAGAAATAACAAAATGTAATAAATGATATAGAGATTCTTACATTCATTGCCCTAGAGCTGTGGCATAAGAGGCTGATCTCCATTAATCTTGAAAGTGAATCTCAAAATATGCATGTAGGGTTGAGCATGGTTGGATTTTCCTTTGATACTCTGCCCAAACAGAGCATCTAAAACGTCAGGTCCATTCTAATTTGGGTTGAAGAACATCTTGCTCTACTTTCGTTGTAGTTCAGATAATTTTAGAATATGTATCTATATGGATTCAATTTCACATTATAGTCATTTGCTAACTTTAAAAAAAAAAATAGTGCATCAAAAGAAATTGGGGTTTGAGACAAGGCTCATAAAATTCCTTAGTTTTTGATTTACAGAGTGATTTACAGAGTGTCTCCCTTACAATTACAAGCTCAAAGTCATGTCCTAAAAAGGCTAACATTATCCTGAATTACAGTTGTATAACAACACTACCAATTCTCTCATTTATGTAGATGAAGAACTAGTGGATATTTCTGCATCTGTCTTACCAGAATTGAAAAGAGAAACATACGGCCACATTCAAGTTTGTGCGAAACAGAGGCTGGCTCGACACAGTTCCTTTAACACAGTTCAGGCTTCTGACAGGATCAAGAGGAAAGTGAACTCAGAACCCAGCAGCCCTTACAGAGAACAAGGTATCTGCCCTTGCTTAATCCATGGGATCTATCCATCACAGTATAACTGTAGCCCTGCCTATGTGCTGGCATTTTAAAATGAGCTGACTCTCTAGGTCCTAGCTATTGTGTCCAGGGGTCTACTTTTCACTTGCCTGAAGTGAAACGATTATTGGGGGCAGAAGAAATGCTGAGTTTACAGTGTATGAACATGGCCTTATGCCCGAAATTGATCGTGGTCAGCCTTGCAGATCAGTTGGTCTGCCGTGGTTGACCTGTTTTGATCAGCCTCAGAAATTCATCAGACTTACAAAGCAACACTTGTTTTCTTTCTTTTTTTTTCTTTGTGTGTGTGTGTATGCTTACTAATTCTTGATGAGACTGAATTCACCATGAACAGCTAGTAGCTTCTTAAAATTTCTGTCTTAGAATCAAAACCAGAACAGGATTTGAGATAGTCTTGTAATCCCTAAGCTGTGAAAAATGAATTCTGCTGTATATAATTGGTGTATATAAGTCTCTTGCTATATTTGTTCAACCTCCATTTTCCCTTTCAGGATCAGGTGGTTACTCCTTAGAAATTGGAAGTCTGGCAGCTGTCTACAGACAGCAAATAGAAGAAAATTCACAGTGAGTAGTCTTTAAAACTCAGAGTGTATTCTTTTCTATTTCCCAGCGTTAACTTGAGAAAATGGAATTGTCACCCTGCAAAACAGGAAGTTCAGTAGTCCAGCTAGTACGTCAGTCATTTGTTAAGATTTTTATAAGTTTTCCCCTTTGTGCCAAGCACAATGCATAAGTAGCCTCAGAGACATAAAAAATATGAAAAATGTATGCCGTAAGTTATGACAGGTTATGGGGAGAGAAAACAAAAAGATAAATACATGGGAAAAAGGCAGTTCACTAGTAACGGGGCACTGAGAAATGATGCGAGACAGTCCGATGAATCACTTCAGCATCATCATGTCTGACTTTGCTTACTAAATGCCAGGCACTGTTCCAAGAGTTTTATGTATATTAACTTATCTAATTATAACAATACCGCTTTGAGGTTGGCGCTATTATCCTCATTTTACCAAGAGGAAACTGAAAGCCAGAGAGGTTAAATAATTTGCCCAAAGTCATATTGCCAATAAATGATAGAGCTGGATTCAAATCCAGGCCATCTGAATAAGCACATGGGCTTTGCCCTCACATGGACTTGGGTGGGAGGCCCAGATTCAGCACTTCATAACTAGATGGCCTTAGGCAAGTTGCCTAACCTCTGTTCTTTGGTTTTCCTCACTAGTAAACTGGGGAGAAATAAGAGTAGCTGTTATTGTAATACCCGTACCCATTGCCGTCCAGTCGATTCTGGCTCATACCAACCCTACAGGATAAAGTAGAACTGCCCACAGGATTCCAAGGATGTAATCTTTGTGGAAGCAGACTGCCACATCTTTCTCGTGCAGAGTGGCTGGTGTGTTCAAACCCCTGACCTTTCGCTTAGCAGCCGAGCTCTTAACCATTGTACCACCAGTATAAAATTACTACAGTATTATGCTAGTAACAGAGATAAATAGATGCCATAGAGTTGGCTTCAACTTATGATGACCTTCTGTATGACAAAACAAAACTTTGCCCAGTCCTACATCATCATCACAGTCCCCAACATCTTCAAGTCCATCGTTACAGCTGTTGTGCCAGTTCATCTCATCAAGGGTCTCCCTTGCCCTTGCTGGCCCTCTTCTTTCACCAAATATGATGTCCTCCTCCAGTGACTGAGCCCTCCCGATGACATGTCCAAAGCAAGAGAGTCAGACAATGTTTTGTTGTGATCCATAACGTTTTCATTGACTGATTTTCAGCAGTAGATCAGTAGGCCTTTCTTCCTAGTCTAAGTCTGGAAGCTCCACTGAAACCTGTCAACAATGGGTGACCCTGCTGGTATTTGATGTATCAGTGGCATCACTTCCAGCATCATAGCAACACACAGCCATCACAGTAGCACAAACTGACAGATGGGTGGTGGATGCTAATAATCTAAATGCTCAATAAGGGGTTAGTGCTCCATAATCAATAACTAGCCAGTATTAGCAATAAGCTGAGATCCCCCAGCTCTGAGCTCTTCCCACCGCAGCCCTAAAAATCCATCCAGGTTATACCTGGCCATGTGCCTCTGGGGTTAGATAATATGTGCTGGAGAGTTCATTTTAAGATTAGCATGAGCAACATTACCTCACTCCTGATTTGCTACAGTTCTCTTTAGAAAAGCAAAGATTCAGGAGTTGGTAGAATGTGATAACTTGGTGGTACTCATTATTTTTCTTCATATTGTAGGAGCAAAGCCTTTGCCAGTAAGAGAGTGGTGCCTCCATCAGAGAGCTTGGACCCTATCCCTCCTTACCCTGTCCTTCCTGTTGACTCAGAATATTCTACTAGTCCTTTAGCCCAACAAGTATTTTCTGCTCCTCAAACGGACGTGCAGGCATTCTCCATGAAGAATGGTCTGAATGGACAAGTAGGCGTCTCACTCACTCCTGCAGCCTCTGATGTGGAAACCCTGAAACCAGCTGTGCTTGCTGGTCAGCCCTTGGTGTACGTGCCCTCCACTTCACTATTCATGCTGTATGGGAGCCTTCAGGAAGGTCTGCCCCCAGGGTCAGGCTCAGAGAGGGACAGCAGAAGCACAGAAGTCTCAGCAGCAGCAGAGCTGTCATCTGTGCCCTCAGCTCAGAAGCGTGTTAGTGAGGAGAGGAAGCCTCAAGAGGAGGAAGAGCCGGCCACTAAAAGACAAAGTATGGCATACGAAGACAGCCCCCTATCCCTTGTCATGCCCAAGGTAAGGGAGTGCAGGTAGATGTATCTGGTGACCTTGCATTAACCCAGAAGTGTCTTCCTAATGAAGACACACAGATACAATAAGCTACCAAGTCTGCAATATGGGAATAGTCGCGTGTCACTTACATAGTTAAGTACTGGACTGGTTTTCCAAAAACTTGCCATAATAGTACTATAAGTAAATGATTTTTATAAAAGTTACATTTTATATAAAATGCTGAAAAGTATAAGGAAGAATAAAAACTTACCCATAATCCGACCACACGGAGGCAATCACTGTTAGCATGTTTGTGTACTTCTGTACCTTTTTTTTGTACACAAGCTAGGATCACTGAAGTAATCATCTTAATCCAGGATGCAGCTGAATTCCAGATTCAGGGATTTGGGTTCTGTCTGGCTTTCACTGCCTTCGCTTGGCCAATTCTCATCACTGCTCAGTGGTCCTGTTTCCTTAGCCACAAAATGAGCAGAACAAAAGCATGGGCTGTCCACGTCTCCTGCTTAGTAGCCATTCAGAGGTTAATGAGATATGACCTGTAAAACTCTCAGAAGGCAGAAGCACTGTCATTACAGCAGTCTGTAGTGGGTCAGCCAGGCACACTTCATGGAAATCATTCCATTAATTATGACTCTTTCTCCTCTACTCCTCTCTCTTGCCAGAATGAATTTTTCTTATTTTGTATATAGCCTGGGGTTGCAGAACAGAAATGAAAGACGGACTGGTATATATCTTAGACAACCAACCCAGATTTGGGCCAGCCCTGCAGTTCTATGTGTGCCATCAAGTCAATTCCGACTCATAACGACCCTGTAAGGACAGAGTAGAACATCCCCATAGGGTTTCCTAGGCTGTAATCCTTACAGGAGCATATCACCGGGTCTTTTCTCCTGTTGAGCGCCTGGTGGTTTCAAGGCGCTGTCCTTTTGGTAAGCAGCTAAGTGCTTTAACCATTGTGCCGCCAGTTCTATAAGGCCCCTAAAAGACTGTGGAACCAACATCCTTTATGAATTATCAGTTCAAAAATTTATTTTGCCATCTTCCTACTTATATAAAATGTCTACAATAGGCAGATGTATGTAGACCAAGGTCTATTAGTGGTTATCAGAGGTAGGAGGGGGAGCAAAAAGGGGAGTCATTGCTTGAGGGGCACTGAGCTTCTGTTAAGGGCTATGGAAGAACTTGGACAGCGATGATGGTTGCACAACATGATGAATATAATTAATGTCACTGCATTGTACATGTAAAATATGTTGAAATATATATATATATTCACCACAATTTTTTAAAATGTGTTTTACAGTCTAAACACCACAGCCAGTTTTCCATTATTAAAATCCCCATTGTTTTATATTTAGGAAACCAAGCCTACAGGTTCCCATGACTTGACATTCATTTTCAGACTATGCCTATACATACTGTTGAAACCACTGACACACACAATCAGTGTGGCACACAGCTATGTTTTAATATTTTGTTTATGGTGTAGTGAGAAAGCTGTCATTAAGATTTACTGCTTGAGTTTTCACTTGCCTTTCTGGTTCTGGTTTGGTTGTGCTTGTAGAAACCCTCAGATCTCACAGACATCACCTCTCCCAAGACTATCGATAACACGGAATCCATGCCCCTCAAAGACATCCGCGTGAATGGCCAACTGCCTGCTGCAGATGAGGTTTCAGGAAAGGCTATGGTGAACTGCTTCATTTCTCCGGAATGGGGAAATCCTTCAAGAAATGCAGAGATTGAAAAGCCTTCAAAAGAAAACGAAAGCACCAAAGAGCCTCCTTTGCTGCAGTATCTTTATGTGCAGTCTCCAGCAGGTAAGGGGTGTCATCTTGTCCCAGGGTCCCTGATGGTAGTTGGATCATAAATTAGGTTTTTAAATTTTCATCTGTCACCTGACCCAAGCGTTTCATTGATAAGCAGCTGCCAATGGCCTCTGAGTCATTTTTCTGTTAGTCCCTGTCTTAGTTATCCAGTGCTGCCGTAACAGAAATACCACAAGTGATGGCTTTAACAAAGAGAAATTTACTCTCTCACAGTCTAGCAGGCTGCAAGTCCAAATTCAGAGCATCAACTCTAGGGGAAGGCTTTCTCTCTTCTGGAGGGAAGGTCCTTGTCATCAATCATCCCCTGGTCTAGGAGCTTCTCAGTGCAAGGACCCAGGGTCCAAAGGTCACACTCTGCTCTAGGCACTTTCTTGGTGGTATGAGGTCTCCATGTCTCTCTGCTGGCTTCTTTCTTCTATATCTCGAAAGAGATTGGCTCAAGACAATCCAATCTTGTAGATTGAGTCCTGCCTTATTAACATGACTGCCGTTAATCTATCTCATCAACATCATAAAGATAGGATTTACAACACATAGGAAGATCACATCAGATGACAAAATAGTGGACAATCACACAATACTCGGAATCATGACCTAGCCAAATTGATACACATATTTTTGGGGGACACAGTTCAATCCATGATAATCCCCTTGTTTTCTCCATCTATAAAATGAAAGTAAAGGCTGTTGCTACTGTTACCAATGTCAGGCATAATGGGAACATAATTAGACAGATGGTTTTTTTTAATGCATTAAACATTTATGGTTTATATGGTGAAAAAGTACAACAAATTCAAAAGATGACTATTATTATAACTTAGCTGAATCTGACATAGGTTCATTATAACAGCACGAACCTATTGGCCATTATCTGCAATGAGCATTCTGCTCTCTTAAGAATCAAGTTCTGAGTATATCATTGTGGTCAAATAAGAGGGCGTGAGGTTTAAAAACCACTTATTATCTGTGTGAACTTAAGACAAGTTATTCAGCCATCCTCATTAGTAAAAATAGAGATGATACACCTACTTCACAGAGTTGCTTTGAATATTAAATAAGATAATATGTCTAAAGCACTTAGAACAGTGCCTGGAACTTAGTTAAGTACTCAATAAATTTTAACTGTTAGTATAGTATTTTGAATTAAAGCTAAAATACCACAGACACCTAATTTGCAAGATACGCAAAGTATACATAAATCTACTCTTGATGTCAAGATATATAATTGATTTTCCCCAACTCCTTGTTGACCTAAGTGTCTCTGCCAGGCCCGATTAGGTATTTGTAAATTATTAACTTATCTAGAAAACATTCTTTATCCTTTTAGCAAATACTTTTGCATGTTTGCTTTAAGTATGATACTCAATGTTGGTGATAACACTGATGAACAAAAAACTGACTCACCCGTGCCGAATGAAAATTACAGCCCAGCACAGGAATTTTTAACTTTTTCTGTGCCATGTCCCCGTAGGCAATCTGGTGAATCCCTCGCATTCCTCCCCAGAATGTTAACAAATGCATAGCATTAAATACATAGGATTACAAAGGAGGTAAACCATATTGAAATACAATTATAAAATAATTTTTAAATTCTTTATAGTAATAAAACAATCTGGCTGCAAATCCAGTACTATCATTTCAAAAGTGTAATGAACTTAAAGAGTGTATTCAGAAATCTGCAGTAGCTATAATGTAATATGAATATATCTGTGCTGTTTACTAGTGACAAAAGTACTATCAATACTACTGTGATTTTTTTTGCCTGTGATCATAATTGAGGGAAATGCAAAATTTCAGTTACAAGTTAGTGAAAAAAAAAATAAGGATACCATTTTTTCCCATCCACAGTCACTTCGCTCTTCAATTTCAGTTCACTGGAACTCACATTAAGAACCCCTGGCAGTCTCAAACAGATACTAGTACACCAGTGTTTACTACAGCATTGTTCCCAATAGGCAAAAGATGGACACAACACAAGGACAATGCACGGATAAATAAAATGTTGGGTGTCGTCAAGTCAGTTCCGACTTATAGCAACCCTTCGTACAACAGAAGTAAACACTGCTCTGTCCTGTTCCGCCCTCACAATCTTTGCTGTGTTTGAGCACATTGTTGCAGCCACTGTGTCAATCCATCTCGTTGAGGGTCTTCCTCTTTTTTGCTGACCCTCTACTTTACCAAGCATGATGTCCTTCTCCAGGGACCGGTCCCTCGTGAAAACATGTCCAAAGTATGCGAGACAAATCCTTGACAACTTTAGTCTTTTCTCCATTTATCATGATGTTGCTTATTGGTCCAGTTGTGAGGATTTTTATTTTCTTTATGTTGAGGTGTAATCCATTCTGAAGGCTGTAGTCTTTGCTCTTCATCAGTAAGTGCTTCAAGTTGTCTTCACTTTCAAGAAGCAAAGTTGTGTCATCTGCATATTGCAGATTGTTAATGAGTCTTCCTCCAGTCCTGATGTTCTTCTTCATGTAGTCCAACTTCTTGGATTACTTGCTCAGCATACAGATTGAATAAATATGGTGAAAGGATTTACACCTTTCCTGACTTTAAACCATGCAATGTCTCCTTGTTCTGTTTGAACGACTGCCTCTTGGGCTATGTACAGGTTCCACGTGAGCACAATTAAGTGTTCTGGAATTCCCATTCTTCACAATCTTATCCATAATTTGTTATGATCCACACAGTCAAATGTCTTTATATAGTCAGTAAAACACAAGTAAACATCTTTTTGGTATTCTCTGCTTTCAGCCAAGATCCGTCTGGTATCAGCATTGATATCCCTGATTCCACGTCCTCTTCTGAACCTGGCTTGAATTTCTGGCAGTTCCCTGTCGATGTACTGCTGCAACCATTTTTGAATTATCTTCAGCAAAATTTCACTTGCATGTAATATTAATGATATTGTTTGATAATTTCTGCAGTCTGTTGGATCACCTTTCTTTGGAATGGGCACAAATATGGATCTCTTCCAGTCTGCTGGCCAGGTAGCTGTTTTCCAAATTTCTTGGCATAGAGGAGTGAGTGCTTCCAGCGCTGCATCCATTTGTTAAAACATCTCAGTTGGTACTCCATCAATTCCTGGAGCCTTGTTTTTCACCAATGCCTTCAGTGCAGTTTGGACTTCTTCCTTCAGTACCATCAGTTCTTCATCATATGCTACCTCCTGAAATGGTTGAATGTCCACCAATTCTTTTTGGCACGGTGACTCTATGTATTCCTTCCATCTGCTTTTGGTGCTTCCTGAGTTGTTCAGTATTTTGCCCATGGAATCCTTCACAATTGCAACTCAATTTTTTTTTTCGTTTTGTTTTGTTTACAATTCCTTCAGCTTGAGAAAATGCTGAGCGTGTTCATCCCTTTTGGTTTTCTAACTCCAGGTCTTTGCATATTTTATTATAATACTTTACTTCGTCTTTTTGAGCTGGCTTTGAAATCTTCTGTTCAGCTCTTTTAATTCATCATTTCTTCCATCCCTTTAGTTACTCTGCATTCAAAGGCAAGTTTCAGAGTCTCTTCTGACATCCATTTTGGTCTTTTCTTTCTTTCCTGTCTTCTTAATGACCTGTTTTTTTCATGTATAATGTCCTTGATGTCATCCTACAACTTGTCTGGTCTTCGGTCATGAGTGTTCAATGCATCAAATCTGTTTTTGAGATGCGCTGTAAATTCAGGTGGGATATACTGAAGGTCGTACTTCGGCTCTCGTAGACTTGTTTTAATTTTCTTCAGCTTCAACTTGAACTTGCATATGAGGAATTGATGGTCTGTTCCTCAGTTGGCTCCTGGCCTTGTTCTGGCTGATGATACTGAGCTTCTTCATTGTATCTTTCCACATATGTAGTCCATTTGATTCCTGTGTCTTCCATCTGGTGAGGTCCAGGTGTATAGTTGCCATTTATGTTGTTGAAAAAGGTATTTGCAATGAAATAAGTTGTTGGTCTTGCAAAATGCCATCTCCAGCATCATTTCTGTCACCAAAGCCATACTTTCCAACTTTTGCATTTCAATCACCAGTAATTATCAATGCATCTTGTTTGCATGTTTGAGCAATTTCAGACTGCAGAAGTTGGTAAAAATCTTCAATTTCCTCATCTTTGGCCTTAGTGGTTGGTACATAAATTTGAATAATATCATATTAATTGGTCTCCCTTGTAGGTGTATGGATATTATCCTATCAGTGACAGCATTGTACTTCAGGATAGATCTTGAAATATTCTTTTTGACGACGAATGTGACACCATTCCTCAATTTGTCATTCCTGGCTTAGTAGACCATATGTTTGTCTGATTCAAAATGACCAATACCAGTCAATTTCAGCTCACTAATGCCTAGGATGGAGCCCTCGTGGCACAGTGGTTAAGAGCTATGGCTACTAACTAAAAGATCGGCAGTTTAAATCTACCAGCCGCTCCTTGGAAACTCTATGGGGCAGTTCTTCTCTGTCCTGTAGGGTCGCTATGAGTTGGAATCAACTCGACGGCAATGGGTAAGGCGTAGGATATTGATCTTTATGAGTTCCATTTTATTTTTGATGACTTCAAATTTTCCTAGATTCATACTTCATACATTCCATTGTATGGCTATACCATCCAGCCATACAATGGAATGTTATTCAAGCATAAAGAGAAATTAAATCCTAATACATGCTACAACATGGATGAACCTCAAAAACTTGTTAAGTAAAATAAATTAGACACAAGAAAGACAAATATTGTATGGCCTCACTTATATCCAGAATAGGCAAAGGCAGAGAGAAAAGTTTATTAGTGATTACCAAGGGCAGGTGGGAGGGGAAAATGGGAAGGTATGGCTTAAGGGGTGCTCAGTTTCTCTTAAGGGTGATGAAACCATTTGGAAACAGATAGTTGTGATGGTTGCACAACGTGGTGACCATAATTAATGTCACTGAATTGTATACATTAAAATGGTGGAAATGGCAAATGTTTCGTTATATGTATTTCACTACAATAAAAATTTTAAAAAAAAAAGAAGAAGAATCCCTCACAGGAGACACCGGCATCAACCAAATTATGACAGAGATTAATGTGAATTATCACCATGACCAATGCTATGAAGGAGAGGTGTGGGGCTAAGAGGACATACCCAGGGGGATTTGACACCGTTGGGCCAAGGGACGTTTCATCATTCGTTATTGATTGTGGATTGTTATTTGAAAGTGCTAGGAAGGATGTGAGCTTGAATGATCTAACATGGTGTCTTCAGGTTGTGATGGTTTTTCACCTTGTCCTGCTTCTGTTTCAGGATTAAATGGTTTCAATGTGCTCTTACCTAGCAGTCAGACCCCTCATGCTGTGGGGCCATCTTCAGGCCAGCTGCCATCCCTCAGTGTTCCTTGCATGGTCTTACCATCTCCGACGCTGGGCCCTTTTCCAGTCCTCTATTCTCCCACAATGCCTGGGCTGGGTTCTTCTGCTCCTGGAACACTTCCAAACACAGGACCCATGAATTTCGGCTTGCCTGGCCTTGGATCAACAGCTCATCTTCTCATCGGCCCTGCAACCATGGTTAATCCAAAGTCATCAACGCTCCCCTCCACAGACCCTCCACTTCAGGGTCAGCCCTCACTGAACCTGAGTCCAGAGGTATCACAGTCCTGCAGTGCCGTCCAGCCTGAATCACCTGTTTATGTGAGACATCCAGCACCAGCAGTGAAGTTACAACAGGTGAGCCCTGAACATTCATTTCAGTTTGGCACAAGGCAGCTACATTGCCCTGAGATGGGGTACACCTGTGTTTAATGAGTTTTAATTTTAGGACAGAGGCTTTAGGTCCGCCTCTACCTGACTTCCATTGTAGACCCAGAGTTACTTTATAAAGCACTGAGCCGTAAGGCGGGACATCCTGTGCTTTAAAGAAAACACATTTTTTTAATTGTCACTGTGTTTCTTAGAATTTGAGGGGACCTATGATTCGGAATTGACTCAATGGCAATGGGTATTTTAGGCATGGTTTAGGTGGATTTTTGATGGATGCTGAATATTCAGAACAGTTTCTCTAAGGTTTCATTTCATTAGGTCAGGCCACCCTAAATTTAATCATACAGCTAAAGAAACAATTGAGAGAAACAAGTCTTCTAACTAATTTTTGAATCAGTGATTTCTTAAAATGCAATGTTTAAAATGAAGCAATGCATGTATATACTCACATAAGACATATAAAATATATGTGTATATATAAATATATAATCAATATAAACTAATGAGTACTGTATTTGCTCCCCCAGACTCCATTTGTAGTTCAGTCAATAAGTAGTTGTTGAATTTCTGTTATGAATTAGGCATTGTTCAGAGTGATTACTTTCTCTCAAAGAGAAAAAGAGTTATGTGGAAGCCAAAAATATTTTAGACAAGTTATTCAGAGGCTCAAAAGTTTGCTAAACATTGAAGTAAACATGTTAGTTTTTAGACAAGACAACTATAATAACATTTACTTTCTTATCACCCGTTATATGCTGGGCAATGATGTAGGCAATAAGTCTATAACAGTGAACAGGAGAAGGTCCCTGTCCTTTTAGGGTACATTAAGAGGATAAATATAATCAAATAAACAAAAAGAGCTGACACAAAAACACCACTGGCTTAGCGTGCTCTAAAATGCTTTACAAATATCATCTTGCTTAATTCTAACAATGCCGTGAAGTTGGTGCTTTTATCATCCCCATTTTTCAGGTGAGGAAACTGAAGAACAGACTGGTTAAGTAATTTGCCCAAGGTCACACATCTAGTTATGACAACCCAGACTGTGTCTCCAGAAGCCACGCTTGTAACCTCTGTGCTAGGCTGCCTTTCTGCACACAAAATAAATAAAAAGTCACTTTCCAGTCGTGATCAGTGTATGCAGGAGATAAATGGAATGAGTGTGATAGAAAAGTAAAGAGACGGGAATACCTACATACAAGCATTAGGATGGCACTGGTCAGGAAAGGGCTTCCAGTTCAGGTCGAGAACAATTTGACTTTGCTCCTGGTGTTTCTGATTTTACTCTCTTTTTAGTCGCCAGCCCCAGTGACTCCCAAAAGCATTCGACGCACGCATCGTGAAACGTTTTTCAAGACACCTGGCAGCCTTGGAGACCCTGTTACGAGAAGAGAACGGAATCAGTTGCGAAACACCAGCTCAGCCCAGAGAAGACTAGAAATTCCCAGCGGAGGGGCTGACTAACCAGACGCTTTGCCAGGTCAGGTGGGATCAAACCACCGTGAACCTCCCTGTGTTGGCAGGTGGTACTCTTAACACTGAGCAGAAAGCAACTGCAGACCATCCGGTCGTCAGCGTGCACCTCCTTTCTCTGTTTTCCAGCCACTGGTTCTGTTAACTCCTCATCATCATGAATCATCTATTTTCCTGAAAGTAATTGTTATTAATCGTGCATTTAATCCCGGTTTGAGTCCAGACTCTGTGCATGGTGTCACAGTGAAAGCATTGACTGACTTTTGTGGTTTTGGTTCCAGAAGCATCTTGTTGCTGTAAGTAGATCTGAACAGGCTACTGGAGCCTTGTGGTTTTTCTAAAGGGGGGCTGTCTAGCACTTAAGTAGAGTAAGCATTCTTGACATGTATTCCACTTGCCCTGAGTACATCTGTGGTGAAAGAAACTTCCCTTCTGCAGTTTAAAAAAGCTACTGTGTCCTTAGGCTTCATCAGTGAAGCCATCTTCAGTTGTGAGTCCTATGATGTTATTTATTTTCTTCCTGAAATGGGATTTAGTGCAAAAAAGTTTACAACTACAGCAAAACAGAATTCTTTTCAGGGTATGACGACTTGAATGTTGATACTTTTTTTTTTCTGAAATTTGCCCTGCAGTTGTTCTACATCATAATAATAATGTGGATAAATGTATATGCGTGGCAAAATGTCAAGACCAAAATAACTGTGAAGAGTGACCCACTTTGCTATAAATGAACTGTGCTAACTCTGTCTGCGGACTTGAGAGCTAAGATGAACTCAAGCAGCCCAATTGCTGCTTCTCAAAAAACCACGTGAACAGTGAGGTTGTAGTCTTCGAGTGTAAAAATTCTCCTGTGTTCAGTTCCCTTCACTACATGCCCCTGCATTTTTTATTTAAGCGTTAACTTTAGAGTAGGCAGGTGTGGATGCCTTCTAACAATTACTGTTTATAGAATAAATCAGGATGGTATAAAGTAATTATATGGAAAATTGGGATCTGGATGGAACCATTTGGTAGGATTCTAAAGAAGAGTAACGGTGTAGAAATTGATATAGGGCAATAGGTGATTTTTTCACTTTTCTTTTTTTTCAAGTTTGGAAGGGTAAGAGGGAGAAATGGACACATTATTTTCAGTATCCAAGAGTATTCAAACCAGAGTTATATGGTACTTCTGAAAAATGAGAACAATGAGTACAGGAGTTCAATGTTCTAGCACAAATACAGTTCTGGAAGCTATTGTGAAATATCCCGTGTTAACCTACATTACTTTAGGGTTTCATTAAGCAGCCAAACTAGCTTTTCATATTCCTGGATTTAGTGATATTTACCTCACTCTGTCTTTTCAGAGTAAGTGGCTTCCTTTCTTTTTCTTTCTTCTTTCCTTCCTTTATCCTTCCCTTTTTCCTTTCTTCTTTCTTCCCTCTTGCCTTCCTTCCTTTTTTAAATTTCTGTCCTAGATTTGGAATCTTGGTGTAGTGTTTTATTTTATCTTTATTTTTGGACTCAAGAAAATGTTATATAAAAGAATAAAAATATTAAGAGACTCTGGGAGTCAAAGTAGCTTTATATTAACTGCAGGATAATATTAGCCTTATTACCCCCACAAGAATTTTGAAAAGTTTAGGCAGGTAGCCAGATTAAATAAATTTGGTACTTGTGTAAAAATGTTATCAACATTACACTTTTAATGTTTATAGGATGGTATCTACCCTCACCACACCCCCGTTTTTTTGCAATCTTCTCTGGAGTGAAACAGATAAAAAATACGGTTTTAATCATGAACAATTACACAGTAAAGATTAGCCTGAACTAATACTGAGGAGTTCCTCAGCAAAACAAAGAAAAACATGCTTTTTTTTTTTTTTTCAGGTAGATTACTCTCAAAAAAAAACTAAACCCATTGCCACTGAGTCAATTCTGATTCATAGCAACTCTTAGAACAGAGTAGAACTGCTCCATAGGGTTTCCAAGGAGCAGCTGGCTGGTGGATTTGAACTTTTGGTTAGCAGCCAAACGCTTAACCACTGCGCCACCAGGGCTCCACCTATATGAGTATATTCATCTGTCCGGGGTACATGCATTTTAAATACAGTATCTTCCACAAAACATTTTCACTGAGAGGCCTCCATTTTAGATGAAAACACAAACTAATTTTCTCCTCACTCCTGGATGCTCTCCACTTCTATTTTTACTTCTTTGCTATCACTTCTTTTATTCTGTTGGTGATGCGGCCACATTTACCTCAGAGAATTCATGATTCTTAAGGGGTATTAAGAAGCAATCCCATAAATGAGAATATTATGACGTTGTGACCAAACAGCTGTACTTAGCAAGAAGAGACTAAGAAAAAATTTTAGTTTTGTATTCAGTGCCCACCTCGTCATGTGGCTTTGTGATATGTAAATAATAATAATAGCAATAATGATGCAGCTGCCACTGTCAGAAAAGTCATTCTGTTTTTTGCAGAGCAACTGATGGTAGTGACACTGCTGAACTCGATTTGGGTATTTTGGGTAGAGAAGATGCAACAGCAGTCTTGAATCTATCATTGTACAACTTAGTGAAAGCAAATAATTGTTGATGATACTGCTAAGGAAAGGCAGCTATGAGTTGACACTGAGGAAGGTGTGTACCCTACACTGTCCAGGGTTTGTGAAGCCCTTACATTCTGGTACAAGAGTCGGGGGTATAATTTTATACTTGAATCTACCTACCAAGTTTACATTTCTCAATTCCTTTTTGTAAGGTGCTATTTCTGTATTTAAATAACTTTTTTTTTTTTTTAATGTAAAGCTGCTTTCTGCTTATTGCACTGCTAGTTTTATGTAGGTATTAATTTTATTGCTGCAACTGCTTGTTTTCATATTTAGCTCTGCTTTTTATTGTTTTTTTTTCCTTATGGCTATATTATCTATAGCTATCTTATTACTTTGCTACATGTAAATTGATTTTTTTTTTCATTTAGAAAAATATTAAGCTTTATAAAATAGCAATAAAATTTTGTTTAATAAGAAATGTTGGTTGTGGTTTTGGTGGGCTTGTTGTGTGTACCATTTTCAGTAAAACCATTAACAGCTGAAACATCGCCAATCAACTCCTCATAAACCCATCAGATCTTTTTGCTGAAACCTTCCAGTGGTTCCCAAAACCAAAACCGACTGACTGCATCAGAATTATGTGGGCACTTGAGGGGTGCAGGAGCTATGCAATTGAGTTTCTGATTTCCACTGAGTCAGAATCTCTGGAACTTCCAGCTGATTCTGATGCTTGCCCAATGCAGGAATCACAGGTGAATGCAGACCACCTCCCTGACTTCTGGTGGTATCCCTAAGGTTAAGTGCTCAGACTAGGAAATGCCCCTTTAGTTCAAAGACAAATTCCATTATTAACCTTCACTTTTAAATTAACCTCCAAGCAGAATTAATCTGACTTTCCCCAGCTGATTGTATCTCCAGGGAATCATTTATGTTGTGATACCAGCCTCCCTTGCTAAGTTGTGAGGTGCTAGAGAAAAGGACAGCTTTGAAAACCAGTACCATGCCTAGTGTTGCGTACTCATTGAAAGATAGCTGCCATCGAGCCAGCTCTGATTCAGGACAATCTTACGTACAACAGAACGAACTGCCCGGTCCTGTGTCATCCTCATGATCACCAGCATGTTTAAGTCCATTGTCGAAGCTATTGTGCTAATCCGTCTCAATGAGGGTCTCCCTCACCCTCGCTGGCTCTCCACATCATCAAATATGTCTTTTTCCAGCGATTGAAGCCCCCGTGATAACATGGCCAAAGCAAACGAGTCAGACAATCTTGTGGGTTTTCATTGGCTGATTTGCAGAAGTATATTACCAGGCCTTTCCTTCTGGTCTGGAAGCTCCGCTGAAACCTACCCACCGTGTGTGACCCTGCTGGTATCTGAAATACTTGTAGCATAGCTTCCGGTATGACAGCAACATGCAAGCCACCACAGTATGACAAACTGACAGATGGGTGGTGGAGGTACTCGTTAGGTGCTATCAAGTCGGTTCTGACTCACAGTGACCCTGTAGGACAGTAGAATTGCCCCATAAGGTTTCCAAGGAGGAGCTAGTGGATTTGAACTGCTGACCTTTTGGTTAGCAGCTGAGCTTAACTACTACGCCACCAGGGCTCTGGGGTACTCGTTAGGGCCCCCCAAAATGATGACCAGATGAACCGTAGGACCCCTCACAGCAGAGCTTGCCCCATTGCCTTCATTCAGTTGATTCAGCTTGTGCCGCCTATCCTCTACTCTGACCCCTTCCTTTTAAAATAACTTCTTTAACCCATGATGTCTAGCCAAGACAGATACCAAATAACCTAGAATAAACTTGCTTCTACACATGCCCTAGGATTGGGATTTTATTAGCGCTCTGTTTAGTGACATAACTGAGTCCTGCTGTATTGCACACTTATCTCATGCACACCATGTCTTGGTTGTCTTTAATGATGTAAACAGTGCATTGGACAAGCAGGACACCTGGGGGGTGGTAATCATGAAAGCAGCTTTATTTCGTCGCCTTGTGTCCCTTTAAGCCTGGTCAGTCGTGGGAGTCCACTTGCCTTTGTATGGAAACTAGGTCAAGTGCCATGACTTTTCTGGTTGCTGTAAATTAGAGAAGTCATATGGTCATTTTAAGTTACAAAAACCGTCTCGACTCATTATGCAGAAGCATCCATTTAAAAGCTTTCTTCTGCAGCTAGGGCTTGCTATAGCCTGGTCACTTATAGTTTGAGAGAAAAGTATGGCTGTTTTCTCTTCCTCGCCAAGCATTTCTCCTCCTCCCTCAGCATGCTTTTCTAGATTTCTAATCCCAGCAAGGTCAAAGCAAGGGCAGTCGGACAGGTAAAGTGTACCAGAAAGCAACTGTTCAGCAGGCACTCTTGTAAGCAGGGAGCCCTGTAGCATGGTGGTTAAGAACTCAGCTGCTAGCCAAAAGGTCAATGCAGATCTACCAGTCGCTCCTTGGAAACCCTACAGGCAGTTCTACTCTGTTCTGTAGGGTCGCTGTGAGTCAGAATCAACTCATCAGCAACAGATTTACTGTAAACAGGCTTCTCAAACAGTAGGACTGGCAGATGGTTAAGCCGATTTTCGATTTTCGTGGTCATTTCCTCAGAGGGCTCATCTTGGGAAGATTTCTTGAACTGCTTGTGATCAGGCAATGCATTTTCCCCTAGCAGCTATTCTCCCTCAGCCTCTGGTTTTCCTGTAGTTGGCTCCACGCAGACTTCTGAGCAGGATTTAACAGTTTCAGACTGGCTGTCTCTCCCTTAGCCCACAGCTTTGATTCTGGCAGAGACCAAACCAGTTGCTGTAGAGTCAGTTCCGACTCATGGTGACCCCACGTGTGTCCAAGTAGAATTGTGCTCCATAGGGTTTTCAAGAGTGTGACCTTTCAGAAGTAGATCACCAGGCCTTTCTCCAGAGGTGCCTCTGGGTGGACTGGAGCCTCCAACCTTTCAGTTAGCAGCTGAACATATTAACCGTTTGTACCGCCCAGGGACTCCTCTGGGAGATAAGGTCTACC